CCCCCTCCCCCACATTGGGCCAATGCCCCTGCACCCTATACTGCACCCTCAACCTTCAACGCTCAAGCCTCAAGCCTCAAGCCTCAAGCCTCAAGCCTCAAGCCTCAAGCCTCAAGCCTAGAAAATTCAATCCCTGGGACCGAAAAAAGCCTCGCTACGCCCCAGAGCTCTCACGTTAGAGGATACTCGGTAGGCCCTCGGGACGTTGTTTTTTTCCCCCCCTTTTGAATCATATTCAGGAATGCTTTTTCAGAGCGTTTTAAGTCTTAAGCGCCATCCTAGGCTAGCTGCAGCATGGCTCTTGATGAGCACGCATGCTTATGCAACCCTGCTTCTAATGGCCCCCCATGCTGAACCTTAAAGCCCTTTAAGCTCCAAGGCCCTCTGGAAAGCTTCGAATCTCTGAAGCTCTGCATCCTAAATGCCAATTAAGCCCTGCAACCCTGCAACTATCAAACTCGAATACCCAAACCCCAGAAACCCTCGAACCCCAAAGCTTTAAATGTCCTAAATGCCAACCCCGATCCCCTCACTTGGCAGGCGCCGGCACGGGTGCTGCTACGCCCCTGCCAGCGCAAGCTGAGGTCTAGGACTTCCCCAGGTAAGAGTGGTTCTTTTGAAAGGCGTTTGGCGTTTCGGGCTTTCAGAGTTGGGCTATAGACCCCAACGCTACGCCTTCATGCCCCTAAACCCCTATAGACCCTAAACCCAAAACCCTCAACCCTGAACCCTAAACCCTAAACCCTAAACCCTAAACCCTTGCAGCGTAGGAGGTTGTACAGGTCGGCTCCTGCCCGCATGGCTTGTCAGCTGCTGGCTTTGATGCAACGCAAACACCTGGCAGCCCAGTGGTACCCGCTTGCTCCTTTTTTGGTTCAAGGTTCCCTTAAACCCTAAACCCTAAGCCCTAAACCCTAAACCCTAAACCCTAAACCACCCTAAAAGGGGGTAATTACCCTCATGATCATATGGCCTTTGGGCTGCCAAGAACAGCTCCAAGCCCCCAGCACGAAATCCTGTTTGGATGTGCTGTTCCCTAAATTCCCCAAACCCTAAACCCTAAACCCTAAACCCTAACCCCTAAACCCTAAACTGGGGCTTAGGGTTGATCGCCTCTGTGCAATCACCGACTGCCTTTAACAGAGGTCCCTCCGCTAGTCCCTTATAAGCGATGGCAACTCTCGGCCTTCTGAAGCCTACGTAGCGGTTTAGGGTTTAGGGTTTAGGGTTTAGGGTTCAGGGTTCAGGGTTTAGGGTTTAGGGTTTAGGGTTTAGGGTTTAGGGTAGTTTAGGGATTTTGTGACCCTAAACCATGCAGACCCTGAGGCGCCCCTTAAACCATGAGCCCCTCAATCCTGAACCCTAGACCCGTCATAACCCCTACACCGTAGACCCTAAAGCCTAAACCCTAAACCCTAAACCTTAAACAAATCCGGCGGTCTTGACGAGTGGCGGCCTCGAGAGCCCACATGCCTCAGCGTCTCTCCAAAGACCTGCGAGCGATTGAGGCCGCTCTCCCCCCCCCATGAGCCGCAAAAGGCCGACAGCTCCGGGGTTTGGGGTTTAGGGTTTAGGGTTTAGGGTTTGGGGTTTGGGGTTTAGGGTTTAGGGTTTAGGTTTTAGGGTTATAGGGTTAGGGTTAACCCATACTGAGAGCATGTTTTGTGGGGGTTGGGGGTTGAGGCTGCTGGGGAGTAGTTTAGGGTTTAGGGTTTAGGGTCTAGAGTTTAGGGTTTAAGTCTTTTTTCTTTTGTTGGGCTTTTGAGAGAGTCTCATGTATGAGTAATTCTAGCGGGCATCAAGGGTCCTTGTATGTACCCCAAATGAAAAAGAGGGACATGGGCCTTTACGATTGGGAAGTCTACGAGTGCAGAGTTACTCTAGGCAGCATGTGGAAATCTCGGCTTTGCGGGCTTGACGCTGTTGTCTTCAGAAGCCTGTACCCTTGTGCCACAAATATCCCCAAGACATGCTGTACAAAGGGTCTCTGTAGAGCCAAGTAGCCTTGGTACCCCAGTGGTACCCTTTACCTTTTTTTGGGTTCTGGGTTCCCTTATCAAGTCACCAACCCCCAGAAAAAGCAGGGCACCCTTATCAGAATATGTTTACTGGGCTACGAGGTAGTCCCTGTACACCATCTAGGATACCTCGTAAGGTCCCTCCGCTGAGTCCCTTCACGTACCCTAAACCCTAAACCCTAAACCCTAAACCCTAAACCCCAAACCCCAAACCCAAAACCCTAAATCCTAAATCTAGGGAAGAGTGACAGGTGCTGTGTCAGTCTCTCGGGTCGGGTTAGCAGCAGATTTCAGGCCCTTGAGGCATTGCAGCCTGCGAAAGGTGGGTTTAGGGCTTAGGGTTTAGGGTTTCGGGTTTAGGGACTTCCGTCTGAAATGGAGTAAGGTTGGGAGTTTTGTGCTTTTGGCTTAGGATCTTTGTCCAAAGCCCAACACAAGAATCCCCAAGTGATCTCTGAACCACGGAACGATAGCAGGCGCATGCTTGCAGGCCTGTTCCTTACTTCCGAGACACAACCAATGTGCGCCTGCTGCCATGTGTTTGTGCCCTCCTTCTTCGTCCTAAACCCTAAACCCTAAAACCCTAAACCCTAAACCCTAAACCCTGCAAACCTCAGCTCGCTTGGCAGTTGGCGCTGAAGGCCTTTGCCCCACGCCCTGGCTCAATGCTGCAGCAGCAGAGCATGACAGTCCAAACACTGCACGGCAGAGACGCAAGGGCACGCTAAGGCCGCGCTCAGAACCTAGCCTACGCCCCGAGTAGAGCGCACGAGTCGGACGCGCGCACGCACACAAACACACACCCCAACCTCAGCATAGCAGCCCCCGAGCATCGGAAGCACGGCAGTTGGCCCAGCAGCATAGCCAACTGCTTACAAGGCCAAGCTACTTCCCACGTGATCTGTGATTCAGATCAGCGTAAGAGAGGCTCTCTGCCGGATCCTTGGGTTCCAGCTGCCCTGAAACCGCAACCACTTACAAGGAGGGCCCCCCCAGCCTTATCACCCAATTTAGGGTCCTTATATCTCTACTTCTAACTAGGGGGGGCCCTCCCTGCATCCCCCCCTCCCCCCCAAACCTTAAACCCCAAACAACCCTAAACCACCCAACCCTAGGTTTGTTACCCGCTTCTTGGAAATTTGGAGATACCAGTTTAAGGGTTTAGGGTTGCGCTGGGTCTAAACCCTAAACCCTGAACCCTAAACCCTAAACCCTGAACCCTGAACCCTGAACCCTAAACCTTAAACCCTAAACCCTAAACCCTAAACCCTACAGGGGCTAGTGACTTGCAGCCAAGAGATGAGAGTATGTTCTTACTGCATCTTACTTTCCTGGGGTCTGAAAAATCCTGAAGTCCCAAGCCTAAGCCCTAAACCCTACTCCCTGCAACCAGCTCCATCTGCCCGACTTTGACCTTTCGAACTGATCGGCACCGCCAAAGCAGCATGAACGCCCAACAGTCAAGCCCCCCTAAAAGCCCTGAACCGAATAAACGCCACTCTCAGCAAGCCCCGAAAGTCGAAAAAAGAAACCCTCAGAAGCAAAACTCGGCGAGTCACCTGAAACCCCTAAAGCCCAAACCCGCGGTAGTCATACGTAGGTGGTAAAAGTACCTCAGACCCGGTTACAGCCAGTTCGACGTCTAGTTCCCCTACCTATAAGACCAGTTATTACAACCCATGAACCCCCAGGTAGCCCCTAAAGCCTGATAAACACCTTATACACACTTATAAACCCTTTAGAAACCCTGATAAAACCCTTGTCGACCCTTGATGAATCCTTATAAACCCTTCTAAACCGCCTATAAACCACTGTTAAACCCTTATATCAAGGGATTAAGATTCGTACCCCTAAGTTTGTATCCCTAGAGGTTCCTCTTAACATACTCCTAATAAGGCCCTGATACTATCGTCAGGGTCTTAAACAAATGAAACGGGTCCCCGAAACCCAAGGGTACAACCTTAAGGGTCCGAGGTAAGCCCCCTCGATTATCCACCCTTGATAAACCCTTGTAAGCCCCTTATAAACCGTTCTAAATCCCTATAAAGCCCGAATACACCCTGATGAACCCCTTATAAACCCACAAACCCTCTATAAACCCTCTATAAACCCTGTTATAAACCCTTTGCGACCCCTATGAACCGTTTATAAACCCCTTATGAACCCTTTATGAACCCTAAACCCTAAACCCTAAATCCTAAACCCTAAGACCTAAACCCTAAACCCTAAACCCTATCCCTAAACCCTAAACCCAAACCCTAAGTCCTATCCCTAAACGCTTTATGAATCCTTTCTGAACCCTTTTCTCAACCCCTAAACCCAGGCCTAGGGCCTCGACCGTGGGATTTCAGATGGCAGCGCCCTTTCTTGGACCGCGGTTCATTTTGTGCGTTTGAGATGGGAGTCTTTTGTTGGGGTTGAGGCTTTAGGGTTTAGGGTTTAGGGTTTAAGGGCTAAAGGAAAGTACATAAATAGATGCATGACTGAATGAACAAGCATATATACGCGTGTACACAAGTATAGATCAGAAGATAGAGGCATGTTTATGTGGTTCCACAGTTAAGGATACATATTGTATGTACATACATACATACATACATGTGTACATATATATTATATGTATTTGTATAAAACTATTCGTTGTGGCTTAGGCCTTATACTTTTTGTTCAGAGCATTTCTTAGGATTCGTTCGACTTGCAGGGGTTACAAATATCCCCAAAGCCCAAATTCCCAAACGCCCGCTGGAGGGGTAGTCATACCTGGGTTGGAAGTAGCAATGCAACAGTGCTAGCCACGAAGACCCCCAACCCCACTCATGTTTGCCCATGAGCCTTCAAGCAACGAAACCCCTAAATGACATCCCAAGACCAAACGCCCTGACTTCAGAAATAAGCATGTCTTTCTGGTTCTTAGTAGGTACAACATAGAGGGATATAAGGCGCTCCCCATTCCTTCTAAGAGCGAAGAGCCAGTAGGAGGTTATGGATGGTTCCCAACTCAGGGGTACCACGGGTTTTTCTTGTTGGGGGTTTCGTTTATCAAGACTATTGTGTTTTGGTGGCATATTTGGGGTCCTCCTTGGGATGTCCCCCCTTATACTAACAGCCCCTAATTAACAGGGATTCTAGTACGGGACACTATAATCCCAGTAAGGACTGTTAGTAAAAGAGGGGGGGGACATCCCAAACTACGCCCATTTTGAGAAAAAAACCTAAACCCTAAACCCTAAACCCTATAAACCCTAAACCCTAAACCCTAAATACCCGAATCTCTGCGTGCGCTTGTGTGCAGTACGCTTCTGCTTGAAGGACCATGGGCCCTGGAGGCCCCTGAACTCTAAAGCCCTCAAGCCGGGGTTTTAGGGTGTAGGGTTTTAGGGTTTTAGGGTTTCGGGTTTAGGGTTTGGGGTTTGGGGTGTAGGGTTTAGGACTTGCATCCTAAAGTCCTCAAGCCCCCCAAAGCTCCAAAGACCCGAAGCCTGGCAGGACAGCCTGCCTTCCCTCCCGGTGCGCCGGGCTTGGTGGCGGCGAACCCCGCGCCGACCCTTGGCTAGAATGGCTTTGAGGGTTTTGAGGGGTTTAAGGGAAATAGGGGGGTTTTAGGGTCTTAGGGTTTTGAGGGTTTTAGGGTGTAAGGGCTTTAGGGTTTTAGATTTAAGGGTTTAGGGTTTCTAGGGTTTTAGGGCTTCAGGGCTTTAGGGTTTGAGGGTTCATGGTTAAGGGTTTAGAGTTTATAGGGTTTAGGGTTTAATGGGTTCAGGGTTTACAGGATTTACAGGCTTTGCAGGGTTTTCAGGGTTTACAGGGCTTGCAGGGTTTTAGGGTTTGCAGGGTTTACAGGGTTTACAGGGTTCACACCGGGCTCAGGGGCAGAGTTCAGCGGGTTAATGGCGATGGCAGTGGATGGTGGGCTCCGGAAATTCCCTAAACGCTAAACCCTAAACCGCAGGGCGTGCAGATTCCGAAGACTAGTTCTGCGGGACACGCAAGATGATGTAGGGACGTCGCGCTGAAGGTTTTGCGCTCAAATTGCAACTCTAAACGCTAAACCCTGAACCCGACACCCGACACCCGACACCCTTAAACCCAAACCCTGAACCCTAAACCCTAAACCCTAAACGTAAACCCTGTTGTTTCCATCATGAAGCAGGCTCGCGTCGATCCACCAGCGCACTCGCAGCAGTGCAGGATGCAAATGCAACTCTATAGGGTTTAGGGTTTAGGGTTTAGGGTGTAGGGTTTAGGGTTTCGGGTTTCGGGTTTAGGGTTTAGGGTTTAGGACGACGGCTGTGATGCGCATGAAGGAGACCTTGCGATCAAGGCAAAGATCCAAGACGAATTGGATGCGGGGCAGAAACAGCCTCAAGTGAAGCCGAGGGAAGCAGGGCTTAGGGTTTGGAATTCCAGGGCCGGCCCCGGGCCACTAGGGTTTAGGGTTTGGGATTTAGCGTTTAAGGTTTAGGGTTTATGGGCAGGACTGGTGAGTTAAGAGGGTTTGCGGGTTTTGGAAGAGGTAGTGGGGGGAAGGGCTTTAAGCCTTGGACCCCTATAGAACTAGCTGCTTACGTGGTAGTTCAGCAAGGCCGTGTGCCCTGAGCGGCCTGAGTCTGATTTCTTGGGTACGTGTAAGTACCCCCCCCCCCTCCAACTTCAGCAACCCTAACCCTAAACCTTATGAACCCTAATTAAACCCTAAACCCAAACCCTAAACCGTAAACCCTAAACCCTCAGCAGCTGTAAGGTACCTTCCGGTGCAACCTGGGCTAATCCAGGGCGCTGCGTTGCCTGTCTGGCTCCCTGGACAGGGCTTGCGGTTATTGGGGTTTGAGGGCTGTAGGGCTGTCGTTCAGGGTTGCATGTTAGCCTTCGGGTTTTAGGCCTGTAGGGCAGGCTTCAAGAAGAGGATCTAGAGAGTCAATTATATGGTTTCAGGAGCTGGAAACCACTAAACCCTGGACGCTGAGCCCCTAAATCCCTAAAGCCCGAAACCCTCATTTTTTTAAGGGGACCCCTGTTTCAACTAGTTCAACAAACCCGAGCCAGCTCATATTGGTTTAGGGATTGCGGTTCAGGACTTGTTTTGTTTGCAGGTCAGGACTTGGGGTTGAGGTATTGTCGATGTGCGCGGGGCTCACGGATATTTATGCACTGGGAGGGTGCCGCATTCCTAGGTTTCGAAGCCTTGCGAAACTCTGAACCCTGCACCGGGCAGCCTGAACGCTGAACCCTAGACCCTGCGCCCTGAGCTTTCAACGAATTTCGCCCTGAACCCTGAAACCTTGAACCCACTTCCTCAGTCGACCCAGGCCGCGTGACCTCAAAGTCCCTACATGTGGGGATTTCCCAAAATGGGGGGTACCCCCTTTCATACCCCAAATAGACTAGAATCCCCCTAAAGGGACCCCCGCCAAAAAGGGTACCCCTATTTTCGGAAGTTAACCCTGCACCCTGTGTGAACCTTGAGGTGGTTAAGGGCTTGGGGTTTAGGGTTTCCGGGTAAACCCTAAACCCAAAACCCTAAACGCTAGACCTAGCCCTGATCCTTTAGTACCCCAAGCCAAGCCCTGTCAACTCCCAACCCCAAAGTACTCGAAACCCAGAACCCTTACAAGAGCCATAAGCCACGCATCTTAGGATTTAGGGTTTAAGGTTTTAGGCTTTAGGGTTTAGCAACTATTTGCTTAAGAACCCCGCCCCCCCCCCCCTCCCCATGATAATCCAAATAGTGCCCTTCAGGAAGTTTTTTTTTTTTTTTTTTTTTTTGGGGGGGGGGGGTGGGGTTCTTAAGCAAATAGTAGATATCCAGGGGCCTCCATGACTGTCTGACTTGGCCCTGCAGCATAAGCATCAGACAATTCATGGGTTCGATGAATGTTCACTTCACGGGTGTTCGTTACGGCCGCGGTCCGAGCTGAGGAACAAATGCCTGCAAGCGAAGTCTCATGTTGCTCGAGCTCAGCTGGCTTGAGATTATGGCATTCAGTTCCAGCAGCATGAGCACGCCACTCAGCCGCTGCGTGAAGCCAGTGCTCAAGATGGATCTCCGACCATTCCAAGGTCTGCGCACTTGGCGGCTTGAGCTGAAGATCGCGCGCTGTTCTCGCCAATGGGGCACGAAGCATCCCATTCAGGAAACCCTAAACCCTAAACCTTGAACCCTAAACCCTAAACCCCAAACCCCTAAACCCTGTTCTGGAAGGCGGTGCCAGGCCTAGCGGCACTGCCCACAGTGAACTCCCTCAGGGGCCTGCAGGCCATTGGGTCTGGGCAGTAAGGGTTTAGGGTTTAGGGTTTAGGGTTGAGGGTTTAGGGTTTAGGGTGGGCCCTTGGCACATTTCGTGTTTTCCCTGATTAGGTTTAAGAAGGATGGGCAAGCCCCCGCCCCGCCCCCCGATGACGTTTGAACCAGGCCCGGGCAGGGGTTTGGGGTTTTGGAGTTTTGGTTAAGGGGTTTAGGGCATAGGCTACAAGTTCTTCCGAAGTATCAATTGTCGGACTAGCGCCGTACGGCGGTGAGAACGAAGCTACCTTCAAATCCCAGGCCATCAAGCCCCTGAAAAGTGGAACAGCTTTGCGCCACATGCCGCCCGAAACCTAAATCTTGAGAAGGCACGCCCAAACCGCAAAACCTCGCCAAGGCAGCAGCTTAAAACGCCAGGCAGCAAAAGTCTGAAAAAACAAACCAGACCCAAGCAACCCCTAAACCCACTCCAGACTCCTAAACCCTAGGCCCGAAACCCAACATCCCCCTGCCCAGCCTTCCACAACATTGGATGAAGTATAGGTTTTCAGTCAGGTGTTGGGAAGTGAACTTAGGGCTCCTTAGGAATACTGGCGATCAGCGTCAGTCAGTGTGTGTGTATATATATATACATATACGTATACATATGTATATATATATATAAATCAATCTAAACATGGGGTGTCCTTGTTGAGGATACATGGTAATAAACAAAGCCCACTTCGTCTGCCACGTCCTAAAATCCCTCCATTGCAGGCGGGAATGGTTCGACCCCCCATGCCTGCAACAAGGCCACTTGGGGCGTTGGACGGCTGGGGGAGGGGGGGTTCAAGGGGGGTAGGGGAACCTGGGAACCTTAGGGAAGCTTAAGGAGCCTTAGGGAGTAGTAGGGAGTATATGTTGGGTTATCTGCACCCCTTTTTGAAGCCCCCCCTCCCCGAAGAAGCCCTAAACCCTATAAGCCCTACTATAGACCCTAAGCCCTTAACATTCCTCTTCGCTACTTCGGTCTTTTCGGGAGGGGGCAACTCTTAGGGTCTTGGGAAACTGTGCAAGCAATGTGCCAGCGCCCAGGCCAGTCAACGCTGCCGCCATGGCCGCCTCCACCTCGAAAGCGCCGGGCACGGCCCAGGGCCCCAGAAATGGTGATGGGGTCCTCGAACCCTAAATATCCGAAAATGGCCTTAAAGGACCCTGAAGCATGAACCGCCCCAAATAACCCTAAAAGACCCTGGAAGACGACCCTGGACCCAAAGATCCTCCAGACGTAGGTTTTACGGCTGATTCAGCTGTTGAAATCTGAGGCCTTGTTGTTTAGGGCTGCACGGCTTTGCCACTGTAGGACAGAATTACGTCAAAATGATAGGATGCCCAGTAGTGCCCTCATTCATCCCCTGTTGTGTGGGAGTCGGCTCCCACATGAGGGCTCTTCTTGGGTTACTGGGCAAGCTTGTAGAAGGGGGTGATGGAGAATCCTAAACCCTAAGCCCTAAAGCCTAAGCCCTAAACCGGGTAGGGAGGGAGTGATCCTGAGAGTTGGGCACGTAAGAAGACGTGCTGTTCGTTTACAGGCGACAGACCCCAAAACAGGGGAGCCCTGGTGGCTTGAGAATCCTGGTTTTCCACGCAGGCAAGATGCTTGAATATCTTCTTGTCCGTTCTTAAGTGTTCGGATTGAACATGTTTGCAATATGTAGCGCTAAAACCCTAAACCTTAACCCACAAACCCTAAACCCTAAACCGGCAAGGTCCCTGCCAAGGCCGGGCAGCCGGCGCTGCCCCCTGCCGTGCTCCCCTCAAGCGTGCAACCGTGCACCGTCTACGTGGGCCGGATCTCCACCGAGGTGCCAAGGATGGGCTAGGGGTTTAGGGTTTAGGGTTTAGGGTTTAGGGTTCAGGATTTAGGGTTTAGGGTTTAGGGTTTAGGGTTTAGTGTTTAGTGTTTAGGGTTTAGGGTTTAGGCAGGCCCTGTAATCCCCCATAACCAACCCTATATCAAGGGCACCTTTTTTGAAGGGGCTATGGGGGTATAATTGGCACCTAAACCCCCCAGAAATCCTAAACCCCCAAGAAATCCGAGACTCTGGAGCCCTAAAGGTGGAAGCTAGGGTTCTGAGGGTTGGGAATCGTGGCGATCTCTCTGTGCTTCATGCTTAGGAAGGCTACCTTAAAGGGGTGGTTCTCTAGATTAGGGTTTAGGGTGTAGGGATTTTAGAGTTTAGGGTTTAGGGTCCTTTTTTTGGTCAGCTGTATAGCACTGAAATGAGGAAAGGGCTCTATTTGCGAGAACTTCCCAAACAGGGTTGCAACTGCTGTTTGCACACGTCTCCTGCTTGGCGGTTGGCCACCATGGCAGGTGTCGGATGACTTTGTTCGACAGCTTCTAGACAAGTGTGGCAAGGCGGGGTCAGAGTAATTGTGTTCTCTTCTTTACGATACCATTAACACAGACCAGTAATAATACGAATAGAGGCCCGTGAGCATAATATATGTCGTTTAGTCCGGTTTCTCTGTTCATGCATTCACTTCGTTCATTTAGACGAGTGTGGCAAGGCCGGATCACACAGTGCACAAGGCAAGTGCAGCCTGCTACCCCCTACTTCTGTCACATAGTTTTTGCAATTTATCCACTGATGATTTCCAATCCTCTTGTAACGTGTCTTTTACATTATTTTTATCTGTCCAAACCATTTTTGTTTTTTTTTACCAAATCCAATGAATGCATTACCAACATTAAATAAAACAATTGCATTAGCAACAGAGCTTGGTGTTTATAAGAAACTTCGTAGGTTACATACTATACATAATATACATACACACATTGTATATCATACGTTATGTATTATATATAGTGTATTATGTACTAGTTGGTTCCATGAGCACTTATCTAGCTCCCTCAGCACGAAAGACCTTGTGAACCCCCCGCAAGCCCCCTTGAGTAGGACTCTCTGTTGTTGGGGACTCTTTATTGTTTTCAAGACTAAGCCATTAGGGTTTAAGGGTTAAGGCTTTAAGGGTATAAGGGTTTCGGGAAGATATGGCAGTAGAGAATGCAAAGGAGCCGATAGTGCAGATCAGCCCTGCAATAAGGCCAGAGCCTCCATGAGAAGTTCTTGTTTGGTTTAAGAACTTAGGGCTTAGGGTTTAGGGTTCCGAAGTGCCTGAAGCTCCGAACCATTGTTTGTATGGGCCATGGGTGCCCGGTATCAAGAAGCCAACCCAAAAGAGGGTTGGCTACTGCCAGGAGGGGCAAGACTCCTTGCTTAAGAACCCCCAAAAAATCAAAGATAACGACCCCTCCATTACCCTTATAAGGAAGAGACTATTTGCTTAGGAACCCCCCAAAAAGACATGAATGATAACAACCCCTCTATTGAGGAAGAGTTTTTTAAATGGGGGGGGGGGTCCTAAGCAATGAGTAGCCTGGGAGGTCAGCAAGTGGAATAGGGCCGCCGACCCGAACACTTCGAAGTGCGAGCGCTCGGACGTCTCCAGCAGTTGCGAAGGGTTTAGGGTTTAGGGCTGAGGGTTTAGGGTTCAGGGTTCAGGGTTGAGGGTTGTGGTTTCGGGTTGAGGGTCCGGGGTTCAGGGGGGCTTAGAGTTTGGAGGGAGGGTTGAGGTGTCGGCATGGGGTCTAGGATTGACAGGGCGCTTTGGGTTTGGGGGTTAGAGTTTAGGGCTTACCCTAAACCCTAAACCCTAAACCCTAAACCCTAAACCCTAAACCCTAAACCCTAAACCCTAAATCCTACATTAAGAGCGTCATCTTGGGGCTGGTGGCATAGGGGACTCAGGAGACTGAGGGAACTCCCCACATGATTCCTCTAGGTGGGCGTAGGGCCATGAACTTCTGAGGACAGGCTGAACTCACCCATACCCTCAACCTTATCGGGTTTTCAGGGTTTAGGGTCTAGGGCTTCGGGGTCATGACCCCCTGAGCACATCGTCCCAGGCTCACATCGTTCGGCTTCTGCGACTTCGAGGCAGCAAAACCCTGTGGCTGCGGTTGCCGATGTTTTGGTATACATTTAGGGTAGTTCTCTAGATTAGGTTTAAGGTTCAGGGTTCAGGGTTCAGGGTTTAGGGCGGGTTTAGGGTTTAGGGTTCAGGGTTCAGGGTTTGGGGTTTGGGGTTTAGGGTTCAGGGTTTAGGGTTTAGGGTTTAGGGTTCAGGGTTTAGGGTTTAGGGTTTAGGGTCCCTGTTTTTGGGTCCCTATTTTGCACGGCACCTTATAACAAGGACCCCCACAAGGGACCCTAATTTAGAATTCTACCCATTCAGAGGTTTTGTTCTGCCAAGGGCTCAGGAGTTCAGGGTGCTGGGGAGGTTTTGCGGGTAAACCCTAAACCCAAATCCCTAAACCCTAAACCCCAAACCGGGTTGTAGGGCACATCTAGGGATCGGGAGCTCAGGGGTAGCAATCGCCATCATCTTAGGAAAGAGTCTCAGAATGCTCTAAGGGAAGTCATATTCATGGGCCCTGAATATGGTCCCTTGCCTCCCTTAAAGCGTTCTGATGTATGGGCCAAAACTTCGAAAAGGGTATATAAGGGGTACCCGTTTAACCCCAAACCCTAAACCCTAAACCCTAAACCCTAAACCCTAAACCCTAAACCCTAAACCCTAAACCCTAAACCCTAAACCCTAAACCCTAAACCCTACCAAGAGACTACCCCAAGAGAATACAGACCTGAGACGGGAACGATACGAGGGCACCAGCACCTCCAGTGACGGACGTGTGGGCCAACGTTGTTTCGAGACTCCAGAATGCCCCCTAGGTTTAGGGTATAGGGTTTAGGGTTTAGGGTTTTGGGTTTAGCGTCTTGAGGTTTTTCACATGTTCAGGGCTTTTCGGGCTTCAGGGCTTCTAGGTTGTGTCAGGCTGTAGGTTTTTTTTGGGCTTGTCTGAAGTCCCTGAACCCTTACAGAACTGTAGTTTGGGTTTTGAGCTAGAGGTCTTTTTTTAGAAGTTCTTTGGTGTTCGTTTGAGTTTTTAAGAGGAAATCGGTGATACGCACGGGAACTGAGTTAGGAACTGGCGAATAAAGGTGAGTTCAGGGTTTACGGTTGAAACAAAACGTGTCTTGCGATGCCAGCTTTCAGCAAGGTTTTGTGGTTTGTGACTTGTGGCATAGTAACACACTATTTACTATCAACAGTAGGTTGTCTGCCTTTATAACAATCATAAGCACGACCAGCGCCACGATCAGTAACAGCAATAACACAGCGTTGAAGACCACGAATGATACGATCAGCGTTGTAATCCACACTGCAGGTGCAACAGCGTAGCAATAGCAACATTAGCACAAACATCAGGATTATTGCTTTCCAATAATTGACAAGTAAGAATGCCCATGCTAAACAACCTCCCCGAACATATCTCGTGCAAAACATAGCAGTCCCAACACACATCCCTAAACCTTGTACACCCCATAAGCCCCGTGAACCCCTATATACCCCACAAACCCTCTAAACCCATAAGCCCGGTAAACCCCATAAACCCTGTGAACCCTATAAAACCTATAAACCCGATGGACCCTGCAACCCCATAAACCCCATACACCCTAAACCCCAAACCCCAAACCCCAAACCCCAAACCCTAAACCCTATAAACCCTAAACCCCAAACCCTAAACCCGAAACTCCAAACCCCAAACCCTAAACCCTAAACCCTAAAAAACTCCAAACCCTAAACCCTAAACCCTAAACCCTAAACCCCACAGGAGCCCCAGGGAGTCTGGCGAGCTTTGGAGTTCCTCCACGAGAAGCAGCTGTGCGACAAGAAGCTTCTGGTGAAATGCGAGGTCGGGGTAGGGGGGGGGGGGGGGGGGGTAGGGTTTAGGGTTTAGGGTTTAGGGTTTAGGGTTTAGGGTTTAGGGTTTAGGGTTTAGGGTTTAGGGGTTAGGGTGCAGGGTTTAGGGTTTAGGGTTTAGGGTTTAGAGTTTAGGGTTTAGGGTTTAGAGTTTAGGGCTTAGGGTTTAGTTTTAGGGTTTTTTGTTTTTGGGTTCAGTGAAGTGCGAGGTGGGGGGATCGGGGGGTGTGGGAAGCTGGGTTTAGGCTTTAGGGCTGTTGTTGGTTATTGTTGTTGTTTTGTTTAGCGTTTGTGTTTGTTGTCATTTCTAATGTGTTTTGTGATTTCGGGCCTGATATGTGAAAATTCGCTGTTCTTGTTATTGTTTTTTACTTGCTATGAATGTCATGTTTTGTTCTGATTGTTAAGGTTTATTGTTGTTATCATTGTTATTTCGGATGTAATTGTTGTGACCTTTTTTGTGACGGTGATTGCTATTGTTCTTGATAATCGTGGAGGCTGATGTTACCGTTCGGCTTTCTAAGGGTAGTTGCATGGTCTCTTAGTACGGGCCGTTGAATGGGAACCCCTCATATATCCCTTGTATACCCTACGAAAACCCAAGGCCCATACTTCAGAACCGCTTAGATGAAGGCAGGAGACCAAATTGAGGGACCATGTCAATGTAACTTCCCTTAGATGCTTGCTTTCACTACCTAGGAAGGCCCTTTGGGATATGTTACGTTTTCCCTTATTAGTTGGGATGTTCTCCTTATACTAACAGGCCCTATCAGGGATTCAAGCCCTAAACCCTAAACCCTAAACCCTAGAACCCTAAACCCTAAACCCATTATTCAGGATGATTCTTCAGAGGGTTTTAAGGGCCATCCAAGCTACGACGAAATGGTTTTTGGTGTTCAGGGTCTAGGGCAAGCCGGCTGTCCGGTTGAGAAGTAGTTTAGGGTTTAGGGTTTAGGGTTTAGGGTTAGTGGGAGGTTTGTGGGTGTGGGCCGTTTTGGACTTAGGGGTTTGAGGTTTCGGATGTGCAGTGCGCTTTTTCCATCATCGAGCCCCCCTGAAGTGTTGAGACGTTGAGGGTTCTGTGGGTTTGGGCTGTGGGAGGCTTGGAGATCTGGGTTTTTTGTGGTTTAGGGCTGGGGGTTTAGGGTTTAGGGTTTAGGGTTTAGGGTTTTGGGTTTAGGGTTTAGGGTTTAGGGTTCAGGCATGAGCTGGCGCATTTCGGGTTCCGGGGGCCTTGCTTGCAAAAGCCTGCTTTCAGGAGAAGGCCAAGCAGACAATCGACACCTGGAAGGCCGTGCCGTGTTTCACCCAATTCGGCAGGCTGCAGGCTCTCGTACATCCTCTACTTGGAGGGTCATGGTACTTATTAACTAAATATACCTGTACTTATAACCATATTAGGGCACTTAAGGGGCTTATAAGTGGGTTGTAAGTACAGTTCTTACTGGTTAATATGTACCATGAACCTCCAAGTATTCGTATCTACCAAGTCGGTGGCGGTTTGGATGAAGGTGCGTTGGGCTTGACTTGTTGCAGTGTTGTAAAATTTTTTCCCGATTCGTTTGTTTGTTGCGCGTGTTTTTCACTGCGCTGTCACGCATCTTCTGCTTTCCCTTGAGGGCCTATACTCTTTCAAGCCTTTCATGCGCTTCACTGTTTCTGCCCCCAAACCCAAACCCCAAACCCCAAACCCGACACCCTCAACCCCCCCTCCCCCCCCCGAAAGAATCCCCAAGAGCTTTCGAAGAACATGCCGAAAGTCCCCTCCGAAAGAAACCCCAAGGGCGTTCGAAGAACATGCCGCATTACAGAGGCGTTTGAGCTGCCAATGCTTGAGCAGGCCAGCCGTCGTGAAGAGATCCTCAAGAAGCGTAAGGAGGAGGAGCTGTGTTTGGGGTTTAGGGTTTAGGGTTTAGGCCTAACCCTACACCCTTAACCCTAAACCCCTACACCCTAAACCCTAAACTCTAAACCCTAAACCCTAAACCCTACACCCTACACCCTACACCCGACACCCGACACCCGACACCCGACACCCTACACCCTACACCCTAAACCCAACCACGGGTTTGAGAAGAAGAAGTGTCTGTCGCAGGACAAAGACAAGAAGGATGGAGTCCCCGACCCCCTCTCCGAAGAGCAGCTCGTGGCAGAGCTGCGTAAGGAGAATGAGGCCAGAGGTTGAGGGTGTTAGGGTTTTAGGTTTAGGGTTTTTAGGGTTTTCGGATTTTAGGGTTTTTGGGTTTTTGCGGTTTTAGGGATTTAGGGGTTTTAGGGTTTAGGGTTATTTGGGATAACACCACCTGAAATCACTATTCGAAACTAGCGGTCTGTTTCCGGGCGCAAGGTGTGACGATGGGAACCTTCCCTTTGCCCAGTTGAGGATGGGCATGGGAAGCTTGACTTTTTGCGAAAGCTGCCACAGCTACAGCCTGAACCCCAATCGAAGAGTACCAGAGTTTACGGTTTTGGGTGTCCAGGGTTTGTCCAGTAGCCCTAAACCCTAAACCAGTACTCCAGGCTGTAGAGAAGGAGATTGAGAAGCTACTTGTCGTCAAGAACAAGGACTTCCCAGAGGCGTTGGCCTGGGGCTGATTGCATATTCTGTGGGCCCTAATCCTTCCATAAGAACCCGATTGCATTTAGGGTTTAGGGTTTAGGGATTAGGGTTTTAACAGGCATCATTCTATCCGTCTTCAAAACCCAAGCCTTAGTATAGCCCTATAGAACCCACAGACATGTTTGGTTTATGTGTCTATTCCGGGGCGACAAAGGATGCTCTCGCCTTTTTGGGGCGTGAACCCTTCACATTGGCTTTGGGTTTCTGGAAGATCCCCAAGCCCTAGGCCCTAACACCCTAAACCCTACGATAGGGCAAAACCCATAACTCCTAGGCCCTTTCCGGGGAACTGTTTTAGGGGTTTAGGGTTTAGGTGTACGGCTCCCTTCAACCCCAAGCCCTAAGGCCCTTTTGTGGGCTGCCTCCCTTCCGGGCATCGAAATACTTGGAAGGCTTGTAGGTAGCTCGAAGTTGAATGACGTAAGTACCCCCCCAAAAAAACACCTCTAACCACTTACACCTCTAGTTGCGGTGGCCTTGCTCTATCCCCCTCAAACCCTATAGACCCTAAACCCCAAACCCTAAACCCTAAATTCGAAACCCTAAACCCACTTCGAACTCCACAGGAGCCTCCTAACAAGGGGCTTTGGAGCCCTAGTTTGTGTAGAGTCTCTGCCTGGGCCGTGCAACTGCAGCCGCGAGGTTCTTAGCCAAGGTTCGGGTCTAGGGCTTAGGGCTTGGGGCTTAGGGCTTAGGGCTTAGGGATTAGGGTTTAGGGTTTAGGGTCTAGGCGAACCACCCAAACATATCAACATCTGCCTCAGGAGAGCCTCTTCAAAGCTAGTAAAGAGAACTGAGAGCCCTCGTTAAACCCTAAACCCTAAACCCGTAGGTGTTCGATGGGTTGGTGATCTCTTTAGGTAAGGTTTCTGCTTTATAGGGGTTCTTATACGGGTATCTAGGGGCTATATTAAGGTATAAGGGTAACAGATAGAGGCCACCGGCCTTTGTAACGTAGATTTGTTTTGTTGAACAGGTGTGATCGGGGCCTTGTCGTTGGGAATAAGGAATTCTTTTGGCCTAGGGCTACGTGTTCAGGGTTCCAGTGTTCGGGATTTCTTTGCGGTTTGAGGGCTTCAGGGTTTTATGTTTAAGGCTTCCAGTGTTTGGGGTTCTTTGGGCTATGATGTTTTGTAGGTTTGAAAGGTGCATTCTTGCGCAGGTCAAAGACGGCGAGGACCAGAAAACCAAGGAGGCACGACACCGCGAGCGCCCCAAACCACGCACGCCAATCCATGAAATCTCAGCCCCAGCCGACCCTTCCCGATGGCTTTCAGGACTTGTTTCGTGGTGTTTTTACTTTGCATGAGGTGTCTTGGCCTTCCTGCATGTTCTACGTGTCAGCTGATAGCGTTCATAAGTTGGGTCTAAGTACGCTTAGGTAGGGCTTCCGGTTTGTATAAGGGTTCAGGGTTGCTAGGGGTTTCGAGAGGTAATCTAGGGTCTGGTGTCCAGGGATGTCTTAGGGCTCAGGGTTGGGGGAAGTGCCGAAACCCTAAACCCTAAACCCTAAACCCTAAACCCTAAACCCTGAAGAGCCTTCGAGGAGGACGAGAAGGCCGCCAAAGAAGCTCTGGAAAAGGCGGGCTTGAGGGTTTCCGGGTCCGGCCCCGGGTGGTTTTTTTAGCCAGTGGCCGGCAGGAGAAGAAGGAGAAGGAGGCGGCGGCTGAGAAGAAGGAGACGTCTCTCTTCAAGGGTTGAGGGTGGAGAAGAGGATCCCGGTACTTCTTGAAGAGAAGTTAGATGTTAGGTTTAGGGTTTAGGGTTTTGGGTTTTGGGTTTTGGGTTTTGGGTTTTGTGTTTAGGCTTGGGATGTTCCCCCTTATGCTAACTAACAGTCCTTAATCGGGATTGTAGTAGGGAATGCTATAATCTCCGTTGAGGACTGTTAGTGGAGAACATCCCAAGTGTAGGTTTATAGGGTTCAGTCCGAAAGTACCTGCGACGTAGTGGGGATTGAAGCATTGCTTACGTGGGATCATGGGCCGTTGAGGTGGTACCCAAAGTTTTTCAACCCAAAAGTGACTCCCAGATAGCTGCACCCGGGGCCAAGGCGGCTAGGGTTTAGGGTTTATCGTTTTGAGGGCTTGTGTAAGTGGATTTGCGGCTTAGGGCTTAGGGTTCGGATGCGTATCCGGTTGGGTCTGCTTCAGTGTGCACCACCAACTGTAAACCCTATAAACCCTGAACCGTAAACCGCAACTGTTTGCCAAGATATGGACAGGGGCGGGACATAGGAAGCTGTCAAAGAGATGCCAGTGCAGGAGGGCAGCACCGTGAAGCTTTAGGATGTTGTTAGTACGGTTAAGTGTCCTGATGCTAAGTTTGTCTCAAGAACAAACGCAACGCAGAGTTTCCAGGTCCACACAGCATCTTCATAGGTGTTTCGGGGTCCATCTTTTGTTGTACATGTTTCTTGTTTTCTGATTTGAGTATTCCCATCACTGCAGCAGTCCTGGAGGCATTAATTGAACTATAAACTATTGATAGTTCAATCTTGGTGTCTCCAGACACCACTGCCCATTTGAGAAATTGAGGATGAGGGCTTGGGGTTGCTTGGGGTTTAGGGTGGCCCGAAGGTGTAGGGTTTCGGGTTTAAGGCCAACCAAGTTGGGCCTTAGGGAGTCCACTCCAGGGCACCGCTAGTGAAAGCTGCGATAAAATGGGCTTTGTTTTTTGTCGAATGGGCCCTTGACCTGAGTCCTTCCTTGCTTGGCTTCCCAAAAGGTGTGTGTCGTGGGCTTGCCCCGGCTCGGAGACCTGGTTTCTCTTGGATTTCATATGGGTGGTTGTCAAAATTATGGTCCCTTTATGAAAATACTGCACCTAATTTTTAGGGTACCCCCAAAAAAAGGAACATCATTTTGGCAACCACCCATATAGTCTCCCCCGGTGAGGACGAAAAAGACAACAAGGACAAGGAGAAGGAGAGAACCAAGACCGAAGAGCGGGCGCGCAACGGTTGAGGGTTGTCATGGCTTGGCATTGGAAAGTCGGTCTCTAAAACCCGGTAGAAAGCGAAGCCCTTATAAGCCATTCATGTCCCGAAATAAGCCCCAAAAACTCCGCAACTCTCAACACGCTAAACCCCTGAACCCTGAACATTGTAAATATAAACCCGAACTAGGTCTGGATCCCTGTTAGGCTCTGGCTCAGGTGTTTGGGGTTTCTTGGTACAGAGTCGGCAAACTGCAGCCTTTTCTTTTTGGGGTTTAGGGTGTGGGGTTAGGGTTTTGGGTTTGGGGGTGAGGGGGGGGGGGGGGGGGGGGGGGGGGGGGGGTTCGTCAGGACAGCATAATCAACCCTCATCCCAAAATCAGAAGGGGTCAGACGCCCGCCTGCCAGCCACGAGTCCAATAACCCAAATCCGTAAGCTTAAAGGGTTCAGGGCTTTCGTGTTCTTCGGGTACCCCTAAGCACCACGAGTCCCACATGTTTTGGAGTCTGACCCCTCTAGCTCTGAACCCTAACCCCTAGAAACCCAAAACCGCCTAAGCCCCAATTCCTTAAGGCCGTATAACCCCCATCTGAGCCTTCAGAGGCCCTTTTTCGACCCCAATGTCCCGTTTAAGCCCGAATCCTGGAAGCCCTTGACACCTTGAAGCCCCCAAGCCTTTAAACCCCTTGCAACCTTAGCTTTAGGGTTTAGGGTTTAGGGTTCTAGGGTTTAGGGTTTAGGGTTTAGGGTTTAGGGTTTAGGGTTTTAGGGTTTTAGGGTTTAGGGCTTAGGGTTTAGGGTTTAGGGTTTAGGGTTTAGGGTTTTAGGGGTTTAGGGTTTTAGGGTTTTAGTGTTTTAGGGTTTTAGGGTTTTAGGGTTTTAGGGTTTTAGGGTTTTAGGGTTTAGGGTTTAAGGCGTTACCCATCCTTAAGGCCCTGATCATCCCTGAATCATCAACCCTGAACTAGGACCGGGAGTAGGCCTTTATTTTTGTTTAGGATTTTGGGTCTTGGGTTTTTAGGGTTTAGGGTTTAGGGTTCCCTTGTACTCCCCTTAAAACCATAAAAGGTACCCTTTGTATTCCTAGGTTACTCCCGGGTCTAGTTAAGCAGCCTGAAATCTAGACCCTAAACTCTAAGCCCATATCGTCTTCTCGAAATTCTGGTTTTTTGGTTCATATTATCAGGCGGGCCCTAATATTTAGGGTACCCGAAAAGGGACCCTAGTTTAGAGAACTACTCATATACTCCCGAAAGCCCCGGTGCAGGGAAAGTCCGAGGCGGACCGGAAGCGCAAGCGGGATGAAGAACGGGAGGAGCCGAGAGCATCTTTAGGGTTTTTCAGGGGCTTTGGGGCTTTGGGCTTAGGGTTCAGGATCTATGTTTTGCTTTCAGGGGTTTTAGGGGTTTTGGGGTTAGGGTTTGGGTTTTTGGGTTGAGGAGACGGGGTTCGCATCCTCGAGACCAGGCTTTGGCGGCTCTGGACCTCAAACTTAGGGTTCAGGGTGTAGGGTTTAGGGTTTAGGGTTTAGGGTTTAGGGTTGTGGTGGAGTACCCCGCAACACTTCTCCCAAGCCTTGCCATCATGAACAACTCGTAGGCCCTTGGGACATTTTACATTTCCCCTTTTTGGGGTTTAAGAGGATTCATATTCAGGCATGATTTTTGTCAGATGGTTTCAAGGACGGCCATCCTAGCCAAAAAGTGTTTAACCCTGAAGCCCACAGCCCTACCAGCAGTCCCTACAAGTCCAGGGCCAGATTTGGCAGGCGCGCCCCACCCCTGCCTCCCCCCGCCAATGGCTCAGCCAGAAACCCAGAATTCTCTGTTGTCTTCGGGCTTTTTGAAGCCTGAGGACCTTAGGAGAACTCTTACGTAATCTGTGCCCTCGTGCACTGCTGCTCACTTTCAACCCTCAACCTGAAATCCCTAGCAAAGAGAGCTCGCCGGTCCAGGAGAGGGAGAAGGCCGTCTCGCGGCACTACCGGGCAAGTCGGCGCGAGCGGGACCCGCCAAATTTTTTGGGGTTGAGGAATCAGGGACAACTTAGGGTTTGGGTTTAGGGTTTAGGGGTTAGGGATTAGGGTTTAGGGTTTAGGGTTTAGGGTTTAGGGTTTAGGGAAGGATCACGAGTAGTTGCAAGTAGGGTTCAACTAAGCCTAACACCAGTTGTAAGTATATAGCTACGCTACTTATCTCTCCAGCTAGAACCTATACCCTAAAGGCCCTAAACCCTAAACTTTGAACCCTAAATCCAAGTCGGGGCGAAGGTTCCGGTTTTCAGTTTCGGGGCTCAAGGCCTATAAGGCCTGAGCGAATATTTGGGTGTTAGTGAGGGTTGTGGGTTGAGGGTTCGGAGATTTGGGATTTAGACCCCTAATTAACCCTGCTCCAGCAGTAAACCCTCAGAACATGGCAGCAGCATTTCTGCGACCCTTCGGATCTCCCACTAAACCCTAAACGCTAAACCCTCAACCCGTCTTCGGTGCTTGGGAGACTCCCCCTCTCTGCGCTGGACAGCGTCAAGTAGCTGAAGTGGATCACTGGAGAGGTGATTGCCCCTGCAGGCGACGGTTCGACTGGAGCCCGTTGGGGTTTAGGGTTTAGAGTTTTCCTGGGGGGGGGGGGCGGGGGGGAAACGCCGGTTTCCTGGAACACGACATGGCTAAGGCCGCCACCGTGCTAGGGCATGCAGACAGCAAATGCCGCAGAAGATCCGAGGCCCACACCCCTGCGCGGCTGCCATGCAACACTACTAATTGCTTAAGAATCCCGAAAAATGAAATATTCTTCCTTATTCCTTATTAAGGGTAATATAGGGATCCTTTTTTCTTTGGGGGGAACTTCTTAAGGCGCTCCGAAATCTTGCGACCCTAAACTCTATCGGGGGGGGGGGGGTGGGTTTGGTTTTAATGAGAATGCGCATATTGGCGAGTTTTGTATATCATTTATTGTAAGTATACAGAGGTTGCGAGGGAAATTCATTTTCGACCCCTGCATAAAAAGTATGATCACCTTCATGCTTAAGGCCAACCGTAAAACCTACAACCCTGCAGCCCTAAGCCCTAAACCCTTAACCCTTAACCCTTACCCCAAACCTAAGCTTACCAGGGGTTAGGTCTCAGTTTGCCATTTTGTGGCTGTCCGTAAACCCCAAACCCCAAACCCTAAACCCTAAAACCTAAGCCCGATACCCTAAGCCCTAAACCCTAAACCCTAAACCCCAACCCTAAACCCTAAACCTAAACCCTAAACCCTAAACCCTAAACCCTAAACCCTAAACCCTAAACCCTAAACCCTAAACCCTAAACCCTAAACCCTAAACCCTAAACCCTAAACCGCAGCACTGTGTTCAGGATTTAGGGCTAGACCCGTCCGCCTACACGCCACACAGATTTGTACCGCCCAAACTACGCCGGCCTTATACGTCTGACAAGAAAGACCATGTCCAACTTCTCAGGATTTAGGGTTTAGGTTTTAGGGGTTTGGGCCTTTGATTGGGGAACCCTTTTTTTGGGCCCTTTATGCCTTATAAAAGCCCAGGGGAACCATACTTCAAACTCTTCAACCAAGGTAAGGGGCCATGTTACAATCATTATGGGGCCATGTAACTTCCCCTAGACACCTGCCGTGTCGCAGGATCGCGACGCCCGGGTCCGAGACCGCGAGCGAGACATCGAGAAGGTGCCAAGCCCTAGTGCTGTATCTTCCTTGGGATTGTTCTATTTTTGTTTACATAAAACCCAGGAGCATATTAAAGATATCATTTTTGTTAAGGTTCTAAGGGGAGCATAGGGTGGAATATTGCGCCGAAACTGCTGTCGTGAAGTAAACCCAAACGAAACCTTGAAAGAATGGGTTACGCCCCACAGAAAAAGCCCGAATGAATTTTTTTTAGTTGAATCCCAAGTAAACTCTACCAAAAGAACCCTAGCCCATGGCTCAAGCAACCGAAGCTCCGGCAGGAGTACAGCTACCGCCTCCGGGAGTTCGAGCGCAGCGAGGAGCATCTGCTCTTTTTGTTTGTCGTTCTCTGTCTTTCTTTCTCTCTCTCTCTCTCTATCTCTTTCTCTCTCTCTCTCTCTCTGTCTGTCTTTATTCTTCTTCTTATTATGGTTATTGCTAGTCTTCTTCCACTTCGGTGCAGTGTCTGGCGGTGAGGATGCTTGCAGGAGGTAGCCTAGTATTAGAGAAGGTGACCCTTAACCTTTTGGGATACACTCCCCTTATTCTAGTGATTAAGGTTATTTACCGTAGTGAGTAGGTAACCTTTAACCGTTTTGGTGTAAATATACTCCCCTTATAATCCCCAAAGGTTAACCTTTACTTCCCCCAGGTTAACTGAGTAGCTGAAGGTTCATGGGTTTCAGCCTCACTTAGGGTACCCGTTGCGTACACTCACCTATGGACTATCTCAAGTAGACCCTCTAAAGCCCGAAACCATCCTCAGCGCAAAGCCCTAAAGGCCTTAAACCCTAAACCCTATACAACCTAAACTCCTAAAACCCCTAAAACCCCTTAAAACCCTAAAACCCCTAAAACCCTAAAACCCTAAACCCCTAAAACCCCTAAAACCCTAAAACCCGAAACCCCTAAAACCCTAAACCCCTAAACCCTAAACCCCTAAACCCCTAAAACCCTAAAACCCTAAACCCTAAAACCCTAAACCCCTAAAACCCTAAACCTAAACCCTAAACCCTAAACCCCTAAAACCCTAAACAAATCCTACACCTTCTGCAGGACAAGCGGATCCGGAACCTCAAGCAGGACCTGCGGGACTTGGAGCGCGGTGGCCCAGGTTTTAGGCTGGTTAGGGTTTTTATGGTTTTAGGGCCCTAAACCCTAAACCCTAAACCCTAAACCCTAAACCCTAAACCCTAAACCCTAAACCCTAAACCCTAAACCCCAAGCCCTCACCCCGGGTCAGTGTCGAGGCCTGCTTCTGAGCCCAGCGAGCGCGAGAAGCCCTGGCCTCGGCATGCACTGCCAAGGGTTTAGGGTTTAGGGTTTAGGGCTCAGGGTTACCGGGTTGAGGGTTTAGGGTTTAGGGTTCAGGGTAGAGTGTTTAGGGTTTAGTCACAGGCTCTAAGATGTCGATTCGTCGGTGCTTTTTGCGCTCATGGGGGCTTTTTGGACAGTGGGCTAAGAGGGTTTTGCAAGTTTTTGTGGGCTACTCGTATGGTTTAGGTGCCAGCTCGGGGGGATTAAGTAGTGGTTAGTGTTCAGGTCCGGGTTCAGGTCGTAAGGGTTCCCATGAACAAGGGCCGAATGTTACACCGAACAGGGCACACGCTTGAGAGGCCTGGTCCTAGGCCATGAGACCATCACAGACGCCCCCCACCCCCCCCCCCCCCCCTTCAACCCTAAACCCTACACCCTGAACCCTAAACCCTAAACCCTCCAAACGAAAAGAAAGCAGCAAAAGCCCACACAAACCCATGCGCCAATTGGCTCTGAATGGTATAGGGTTTTAGGCAGGTTCAGGGTTAAGGGCTTTCAGGGTTTACGGTTTAGGGTTCAGGGTTCAGGGTTAAGGGCTTTAGCAGGTTTAGGGTTGTGGCGGGTTAGGTTTAGGGGTTTTGGGGGTAAAGCCCATTTTTGTTTTTGTTGCCGTACAAACCCCAGGAACCCTAAACTCTTTGCATTTTACAGGTTGCTTGGGCCGCCAAGCCCACAACCACTACACTAAGCCCTAAACCCTAACCAAGCCCTACACCCAAAACCCAAAACCCTACCCTACAACCCTAAACTGACCCTAAACCCCAAACACGACTTCCACGGTTTCGGAAGGCGAAAGTTCGGCGAGCGTGACCTCGACTTCCGCGAGTCGGACGTGAAGGAAACACTTCTACACCCTACACCCGACCCTACACCCTAAACCCGACACATGCCCAAAGCTAAACCCTAAACCCTAAACCCTAAACCCTAAACCCGATGTTTTTTTGAGCACCATAAGGCCGATGCTAGTAGCCGTGAGTTTTTAGAGGGCTTAGGCTAGTCAAAGGCGCGACAGTCTACCAAAGCCCAGGACGCACTTCATGCCCTAAACCCTGAACCCCTTAATCCCTTATATCCTAAACCCTTCATCCCTTCAACCCTCAACTCTAAACAATGAACCTTAACCCTGAACCCTAAACCCTAAACCCAAACCTCCCCAAAACCCCTAAACCCTGAGAGGGTTTAAAGAGCCAAGCTGGAAGTTTCGGATCCTCCGGCCTTAAAGCTTCTCTACTCCCCCTCCCCAACAAAAAGGGTTTAGGGTTTAGGGTTTAGGGTGTCCCAAGACGTGCTTGGGGGAAGAGTTGGATTCAGGGGTTTAGGGGGTTCGGGTTGAGGATAAACAAATATCTCAAGACGTGCTGGGGAAGAGTTGGGTTTTCGGACCTGAAGACTCCGGAACACGAGTTGAGGGTTTAGGGTTTAGGGTTTAGGGTTTTAGGGTTTAGGGTTTTAGGGTTTAGGGTTTAAGGTTTCAACAAGAGCCGTCTTACACCCTGTTACTGTACCAATGTACAGCCGGAATGCCGCATCGGTGGAAACCAGTCGCACGTCCTCAGCCCAAAAAAACCCCAAACCCCAGACCCTGAAAACCCTAAGTCTTGAAACTAGGACTCGAAACCCTACTGAAGCCGTAAAAACCCTAAACCCTCAACCCCCAACCCTGAACCCTAAGAACCCTAAACCAAAAACCCTGAACCCTAAACCCTAGCCCTAAACCCTAAACCCTAAACCCTAGAGTCCATCTGTTTGGGAGAGGAGTGGAAGAGACGCCGCGAGGCCTCGCCACTGCCAGGGCTTGGGATTCGGGCATTCCACTAGGCTCCCAGGGTTTAGGGCCGAAAGGATTCTCACCGAACACTCCCCAACAGTCCTAAACCCTAGACTAGAGTTTGGGGTTTAGGGTTTAGGGTTTAGGGTTTAGGGTTCAGGGGATTGAGGGGCTGAAGCTTAGAAGTTCGACCTGGAGTTCCATCATGCCAGGCCCCAGGAATTCACCTTTTGAGTAGGTTGGGATGTTCCCCCTTATACCCGCAGTCCTTTATAGGGATTATAGTAGGGTTTACGGTTTAGGGTTTAGGGTTTAGGGCTATAATCCCTATTAAGGACTCTTAGTCTCAGGGGGAACATTCCAAAGGTTTAGGGCCTAGGGTTGAGGGTTTTTCCCCATTGGATCCCTTGAAGCAAACCAGGGCACCCTTCGTATTCCGACTTCACTCGAAGACCGAGACAACAAGACTTAATCCCGCTGTCGTTCTACTTTGGGCACTTCATGTTCAAGCTTAGTCTCGTATTTCAACTGCATGAGCGCTCCCCTCCCCCCCCCCCCTATAAAAAAACCACACACTAAAAACTAAACCCTCAAGCCGACAAACCCTAAACCCCAAGATCTTATGTATAAAACCCTAAACCCTAAACCCTAGACCCTATAATCCCTAAAAGCCGAAAGGACGCTAAGCCCTAAAACCGTATCCCCTGCATCCGATGCGCGAGACGAGCCGGGCAGTCCCAGAAGCCCTGGAAGCCGTCAACCCCGAAGCATGTAGGGTTTAGGGTTTAGGGTTTAGGGTTTAGGGTTTAGGGTTTAGGGCTTAGGGTTTAGGGTTTAGGGTTTAGCATAAGCCCTAAACCTTAAACCTTGGACCCCTAAAGCCCCAAGCCCTACCCTAAACCTGAAACCCAAAACCATAAACCTTTTAGGGTTCTAGATTGTCATAGAGTCATATGGGGAGATTTCCCGAAATGGGAGGTGGCTTTTCTGGGGGGTTCCTAAAGTGTTTTTGGGCGGAATATTGGGCGCGGTTTAAGGTTTAGGGGGTACTCCGTCGGTACTCCGCCCCCAAAACAACATGAAGGACATATAGGCCATACTAAGATGGCTAAGCCACAAGCCCTAACCCAAACCCTACAGCCGCTCAAACGCTAAAACCAGGACCCAAACCCTCAACCCCAGACCCCAACCCCAAAACCCCAACCCTAAACCCAAAAACCAAAACCCAAGAACCAAAACCCGAAGCTTGCTACGAGGATCGGGAGAAGGACCGAAAGCGAGAGCAGGAAAAGGACGCCGCGGACACGGTCGCTGAGAAGGAGGAGGCGCCTCTAGCTTCGGGGTTCAGGTTTTTTTTTTTTTTTGGGGTTTAGGTTTTTGGGGTTTAGGGTTTAGGGTTTAGGGTTTAGGGTTTAGGGCAGCCCCAAGAAAGGCTCCAGAGCCCTAAAACCCCCTAAACCCAGAACTCAAGGTCGAACGATTGCCACCCTGGGTTCCCTGCGCTCGGTCTTTGTTTGTTATGGGTTCAGGGGTTAGGGTGTTGGGCTCCCCAGTCGCATGCCTACCTTTGGGACCACATGAGCACCAACAAGTTGAGATCCTACTAGGACCGGGAGCAGGCCCTTTATTCCTTTTTTTTAGAGTGTTGGGGGGTCCCTTATAAGCCCCTTAAAAGCAACAAGGGTACCCTTTTTTTTCTAGGTTACTCCCGGGTCTAGACAAGACCCCTGTTAGGGGCATGTAAGCCATTGGGGGCCTTTTGAGGCTATCAAGGGATTCAGACTCGTACCTTTAAGGTCGTACCCCCTACATAAGGTCTCCCTTAATCTACTCCTATTTTGGCCCTCTTACCCCAAACAAAACAAGCGTACCACCTTCGGGGTCCAAGGGAGAACTTCCTGATAGGGTAGGGTTCAGGGTTTAGGGTTCAGGGTTCAGGGTTCAGGGTTTAGGGTTTAGGGTTTAGGGTTTAGGGTTTAGGGTTTAGGGTTTAGGGGTCAGGGGTTTAGGGTTTAGGGTTTAGGGTTTAGGGTTTAGGGTTCAGGGTCTGGGGGTGCACGGCACGGCCCCTTGTACTTTGGGAGCCCGCGATGTCTTTGCTTTTGCTTGTTTTGTTTGGAGAACTGCCCCTGTGATTCCCTTCCTTTGGGTAGGATCAAATTTTCTACCCTAGTAAACAAAGTGTTTTTTTTTGATATAGGCTTACTGGGCGATCTAGTGGTACAAACATATTCTGGGATTTGAGGATACAGAGTTTTCGAGTCAGGGTTTGCAGGGTCCCCCCGTCGAGGATCATCACCTTCAACCGCAGACCCATCCCCCCCAAAAAAAAACAAAAACAACTCAAAAAACAAAATATTAGTAATAAAAATAAAAAGAATACTAAAAGGAACTAAACGACGACAACAAAACTTAAACGCTAAACCCTAACCCCTTCAAGAGGGTTAAGTAGCCCCCCCCAAACCCTGAAATCCCCTCAGCACTCCAAGACTCCACACCCCCCCCCCCCCCCCACACCACACCTGAGTTCCCTGGTTTAGGGTTTAGGGTTTAGGGTTTAGGGTTTACGGTTAGGGTTTAGGGTTTAGGGTTTAGGGTTTAGGGTTTAGGGTTTAGGGTTAGGGTTCTGAACTCCCTACTACCCTAAGGGTAGTTACATGGTCCCTCAATGTGGTCCCTTACCTTCTTTAACGGGTTCAGAAGTACGGGCCCTTGGATTTTACAGGGTATATAAGGGGTATATAAGGGGTATATAAGGGGTCCCATTTAAGGGCCATCTTAAGGGACCACCTAGTGGTAGAGTAGGTAACCGTTTAACCTTTTTGGGGTAATATGATCCCTTAGAATCCCAAAGGTTAACCTGTAATTCCCCTAGGTTACTGGACAACTGAGACCATGTAACTACCCTCTGATAAACCCCTAAACTTATACCACCCTAAACCCTCAACCCTAAAGCCTGAACCCCTGAACCCAACATCGCCCCTCGCAGGAAGAGGAGTCGAAGCGGAAGAAGAAGGAAGACGAGGAGAGGAAGAAGAAGGAAAAGCAGGAAGCCGAAGAGAAGGCCAGGGTTTGGGGGTTTAGGGTTTAGGGTTTAGGGTTTTCCTTCCAAAGTGCAATACACATGGCTCTACGCGTTTCAGGTAGAGAGGAATCGGTCGCCCAGTCCTAGTCAGAGAGTAGGAGTCTAGGGTTTAGGGTGTAAGGCGAATGTGCTTCTACGCTCTCCTCACAGTCATTAAAGCGTTCAGGGATTGGCTGTGGGCGAAGGCTACTTGGAGTTTTAGGGTTTAGGGTTTCGGGTTTAGGGTTTAGGGCTTAGGGTGCTTACTACAAGTGGTGCTATAGGGGTTGAGTCAAGTGGGATAGCTATAGCTTGACAACCTTAGGCGCTGCACTTGGAATCCTACTCATGACTACGCATGGACCTCAACCCTAAAGCCTAAGCCACCTGAGCCCTACCCCGTAACACCGTATAAACTCCGGTCCTAACCCCCCAAAGTCACTCAACTTCCTCCAAACCCCCAACCCCCGTAAACCCTAATCCTCCATAAACCCCAACCCTAAACCCTTAAACCCTATACACCCCAAGCCTAAACCCTCAGGCACTACACACCCCAAACCAACATCCCAAACCCTCAAACGCAATAAACCTTAAACCCGAACTCCCCCGGCCCTAAGGCTATAGCCCAAAGTAGGTATTGCACACTTTAGACCCCAAATGTAGGTACCATTTATATACTTGGAGCCCTAACCCTAAACCCTAAACCCTAACCCCTAACATGTAGGTATTATTTATATACTTGGAGCCCCGGGGTAGTTGTCGTCGTCCCGATCTCGCAGCCTCGGAGAACTGAAAGCTGATGCCAAGGCCAAACGCGAAGCTGAGGAAGCAGAGAGGCCGGGCTAAGGGTTTCGGGTTTGGGGTTTGGGGTTTAGGGTTTCGGGTTTAGGGTTTAGGGTTTAGGGTTTAGGGTTTCGGGTTTGGGGTTTTGGGTTTAGGGCTTAGGGTTTTGCGGAAGAGCGCATGTTGATGCTCGCGGGACTTTTGAGGCTTGGGGTTCAAGGTTTTGTGGTTTGTAGGGTAGTTTAGGGTTCATGGCTTCTAGGGCTTATGGGGTTGAAGCTTTTGGGGGCCGTGAAGGAGCTGAGGCCAGAATCCTTTCTTGTCGTTGCAGCGCCATGATCTGCACCGGCTACTTTCCTGCAAACTTTGGTGGTCTAGGCCCCGAAACCTTCAGCCCTACACAGCCCCTGAGTATGCCCCCTGTTGCGTTAAAATCGCCACAGGGCCCTGAGCTTGAGTTCAGGATGTAGGGTGTAGGGTTAAGGGTTTCGGGGGTAGATTTAGGGTTGAGGGTTTAGAACCCTAAACCCTAAACCCTAAACCCCAAACCCTAAACCCTAAACCCTAAACCCTAAACCCAGGGTTGAGGGTTTAGGGCTTTATGGCCCAACAGGGCTTCTGGGAGGCTTGGAAGAACCAGGCGGGGTTGCGTTGCGGATGCGTTGTGGGGGCCGACAGGCTTCCGAATGCAGGGCCTTCCTTGAAGGCTCATGGGTTTAGGGTTTAGGTTTTCGGGTTTAGGGTTTAGGGTTTAGGGCTAGGGTTTAGGGTATGGGAAGCTATAACTGAGCGACTGGCTTAATCCCGCGCCTCCTCTAGGTAGCCTTGGGCAGGACATTTGCAAATTTGCTGTGAAAGCGATACCTAACCCCCAAGGCGATACCCCCCAGATAAGAGTCAGTTCTATCCTCATCGCTTGAGTTGGTTACCTTGCTGATACAGTGCATTTGGCTTGAAGTCGGCTGGTAAGAGTGCCTCTGGTGCTCCATGACTTGGCAGTACGGTTTTTATTGGAAAAGCGATACCTAACCCCAAAGGCGATACGCTCAATGACAATGAAGACCAGTTGGAGATAAACCAAGATGCCGGCAGCCAGGAAGAGGAAGGAGGAGGAGAAAAAGAAGAAGGAGGAGGCAGAGAAGAAAGAGCGAGAGGTGGGGGGTGGTTCATCACTGCAGGGTTGGGCGCCCTCGCGTTTAGGGTTGAGGCTTTCGGGGCTTCGGCCTAGCACGCTTTGTCTTGGCCCAGGTGTTCGGCACCCAAGGCGGGGCTACTTCTGTCCCAAGGTGGCCCCAAGCATATGGTTATCTCCCCAAATTCCCCCTATTTTTGCCTAACCATCATGCATACATCACGCACGTGTAGTACTGGTAGCATACAACCTCCAATTACCTCACCAAGTGCTCACGCCCTGAGAAGCCAAGCCCATGGTCCATAAACTCCCGCAACCCTACGCCCTAAAACGCCTTGCGTTACCCTAAACCCTAAACCCTAAACCCTAAACCCATAATCTCCGGCCCCTCACCCGCAGGGCCCAAAAGCCCCCAAACATGAGGCCATAGGGCAAAAGCCTATGCCCCCTAAACTCGGCCCTAAATCCCTGACAGCACTAAGCTGTAAACACCATAACTCAAGACTCAAGTCGGCTGGAACGGTTTAGGGTTTAGGGTTTTGGACTTAGGGCTTAGGGTTTACGGTTTAGGGTTTTGGGTACTGGTCAGCGTCCGACGACCGCGCCAGTAGTGATCAGGTGGGGTGGGGTGCATGGATCGGGGGCAAGGGTTCAGGGTTTCGGGGCTTGGGGAAAACTAGAAGGTTTTGGAAGTTTTGGGTTGAGAATTCTGATCTTATTACTATGTTCGAATATTGCTATAGCATGAGTTTGTTTAGTTCCAGTTTCGACAATGCAGAACATCCAGGCTTAGATGGCCGAGGCATGATGAGGGATGCTGCACTCCCACGGGCCTTAAGATGCTTGGGTTTAGGGTTTAGGGTTTAGGGTTTAGGGTTTAGGGTTTGGGTTTAGGGTTTAGGGTTTAGGGTTAAGGGTTAAGGGTTTGGGGTTTGGGGTTTAGGGTCAACCCCAAACCCGTAACCCATGAACCCTTAAGCTTAAACAACTCTGACTTCCAAGTCGAAATCCTGAGCCCGAAACCCTTAAACGGGAGCACTGCAGACCAATTCCTACGTAGTTTCTAAGAATTGTTCAACATTCCCCTTGGGCATACCCCTCAAAAGAAATTAAAAGGTATGGGTTTGGGGTATGTTGACTTATTCTTAGATAGTTACACTATTTGCATAATTCCATTGTTGCATCATCACTGGTTTTTTTTTACAGTTCGACAGTAGGTTCCAGCTCTGATGAGAAGCGCCTGGCAGGAAAGAGAAGCCAAAGAGAAGGAGGCGACGGCCCAAGCACAATAGACGCCAGGTAGGCCCTTTTGGGGAAGTGGCAAGTAGGTACCATTGAAGTCTCCCCTTATATACCCCTCAAGGCAGTATCTAGGGTACTTATTTCCCTAGGCAGGCCCATGCTATGTTTCCAACGGGTCATATTTAAGAATTTTTTCGGAGGGAAATGAGCACCATCCTGGGACAGTTCTGAGGGTTTATAGTACGGGGCTGCACTCGGGGCTTGGGGTTTTAGGGCTCCCTTCGTAGTAAGAGTGTTTAGCTTGGAGGGTTTAGGGTTTAGGTTTTAGGGTTTAGGGTTTAGGTTTTAGGGCTCAGGCTGCTAGGTCTGCGAGGCTTGTCGTCAAAGCCAGATGTCATGACAATGGACAATCCCTTGCACTTAGACCCCAACCCCGCCCTAAGCCCCCCCTTTCGGACCTGCGGGGTTGGTTCAGGTCTTTGATAGAGCAAGGTAAACCCCCAAGTATCCCTAGACCCTAAACCCTAATACCCTGACCTAGAGCACCAGCAACTCAGGAAAAGGAGGCCAGGGAGAAGGAGCAGAAGAAGCAGCAGCAGGCCAGTGGGATGTAGCGCCACCCCTCATGAACCGGGAAAGGCTTTGGAGCACGAAAATCAAAAAAGCCAACTAAGGTTTAGGGTTCAGGGTTTAGGGTTTAGGGTTTAGGGTTCAAAAGTTAGGGTTTAAGGTTCTCCACCCTAGACCCTAAACCCGAAAGCCCTGAACCTTAAGCCCCTAGTTCCCACGTCTTGGTCTGTCCAGTGGCCCTAAACCCTAAACCCTAAACCCTGAACCCTAAAAACTGTTTGCCCCGGGTAGTACAGCATCGGATGTCGAGATGGGCCGGATGAGGAGCTCAAGCCCTAAACCCTAAACCCTAAACCCTAAACCCTAAACCCTAAACCCTAAACCCTAAACCCTAAACCCTAAACCCTAATCGAAGCAGCACGACCTGATGCGAAATATTGTGTACAAACAGCTCTACAGGCTTAGTTATGATGGGCTTACTACAAATTCACAGTTATTAGTAGTATCATAGTCCCAATATCAACGGTCATAGCTAACACAATCCTAGCCATGAAAATATTGCTAGATCCGAACTCAATTTCTTGTAGCTCCTCATCCCTAAACCCTAAACCCCTCAACCTTAGCCCTGTTCCCTGAGCCCTGAGCCTACTAAGCATCAGCGAACAGCTCTCACTCAGATCCCTAAGGTAATAGGTCAGTATATGAAGGAAACCTTCAGGGGTAATCTAGGTGTCGGAAAAATTGCAAATAAGACGCCCTTCTGGTCTCTTTATCGTTTTACTATAATTACCCCCAAACCCCTATTCTAATTATTAAAGCCTCTATAGTAGAGTAGCCCTAAACCCAAAACCCTAAACCCTAAACCCTAAACCCTAAACCCTAAACCCCAAACCTTGATTCACAGGATGCAGCTGCCAAGCTCCTCCAGTCCGTGCAGGCAGTGCATCGCCCTTTTTCTCCCAGCCTTCCAGCTTAGGGTTTAGGGTTTAGGGTTTAGGGTTTAGGGTTTAACCCCTTAACCCCGCCTCGGTAGGGTCTTGGGACATTTGATGGTTTTCTCCCCCGCTGCGTAGGCCCTACCTAGGGTTTAGGGTTTAGGGTTTAGGGTTTAGGGTTTTGGGGTTTGGGGTTTGGGGTTTTGGGGTTTGGGGTTTGGGGTTTGGGGTTTGGGGTTTGGGGTTTGGGGTTTGGGGCTTAGGAAGGGTTTAGGGCTCCTACCCTAATGACCTGGCAAACCCTAACTCCCCCCCTTGAACATTCCAGGAACCCTAAACCCTAAACCCTAAACCCTAAACCCTCAAGACTAAACCCTCAACCCTCAAACCTAACCCTTACCACCCCCCTTGTTGGACATTTCGTGGGGCTTGGTTCCCTTGGCGTGGTCGGGGTGGCTGGAGGTTTGGGGGTTAGAGGGTTTAAAGGGTTTATAGGGTTTCTTGGGTTTACAGAGTTTATAGCGTCAAGGTTATTAGGGTTTTTGGGGATTAGGTTTTAGGGTTTAGGGATTCAGGGTTTGTTCAGGCCAGTTATGTGGAGGTCAATGGGTGCTGAAAGCTGAGGCTATATGTAGGCGTAACTTTTGTTACAATTGATTACAACCTGATGGGGGCTGCCATTTCAACTATGTTGTCATTGCGATCAAGCAGGGCCTAGAGAGTGTTCCTCTAATTAAGGAACATACTCTAAATCATCTTCGTGTCCCGAAAATAATTTAAGGGTTATTCCTTAATTAAGGGGTCTAAGAGAAGGTTAAGGGCCCTTTCTTCGTGCCCCCGCTGGCCGCAAGGGCACGCTCAGGACGAGTCGCAAAGGCCACAACTCCCCCACTCCCGTGCGCAAGCACCAGTATGGTAAGTTCGCCGTACTTAAACATGTGGGTAGTTCTCTAAATTAGGGTCCCTTGTGGGGATCCTTTTTTGAGGGTGCCGCCTTATAAGGGGTACCCAAAAATGGGCCCTAATGTTGAAAACTACCCATGTGTTAAGTTCGTGTGCACGTGCGTGTGCATGTGTTGAGGCAGGGCCGAGGCGCTGAGCTTTGCACCGAGATCCACCCTCAACCCCAAACCCTGAGCTCCCAAGTTCCCTAAACCCTAAACCCTAAACCCTAAACCCTAAACCCTAAACCCTAAACCCGATCTTGGGGGGAAGGCGGAGATCATGAGCGCGCCGGCGTGGCTCTCAGCTTTTGTATCAAGCGTGCGGCAGCGCCTGGTTTAGGGTCTAGGGTTCAGGGTCTGCGATTGCGTGTGCGGTCAGCTGCGCCATGGTTTAAGATGGTTTACTGGGGGTTTAGAGGGTTTACGGGGTTTAGGGGGTTTGGGACATTTAGGGGATTTAGGGGGTTTAGGGTTTAGGGTTTAGGGCTGGTTGAGAGCTTAGGGTCACGGGCGGCCGTGGTCTCTGAATCCCTAAAGCCCCTAATGCCACTCTAAGCCGGTCGCATGCCCTGAAGGTTTGGGCCATGAACCTATACCAGGACTAGCCTGCACCCCTACCCTGTAGCCGCAGACTCTAAACCTAAACCCTCAACCCTATACCCTAAACCCCAAACCAGAATCCTGACCTTCTAAAAGCCCCGAAGAACTTCCACTCAAAGCCTGGCAGGAGTTTCCGAATTAGGGGTACCCCGTGTGGCGTTCCTAGAAAGGTCTACGTATAGTAAGTAAGTACTATAAAGAAGGATTAGAGCAGTTTGGGATGTATAAGGGGCTCTTTGCTTCAGGGTTTCCCCCAAGTGAGGGTTTAGGGTAATCGGTTCAGGGTCTAGGGTTTAGGTGTTAGGGTTTTAGGGTTTCAGGGTTTTAGGGAGCGCGTCGGCGTGGCTCTGAGCTTTTGCATCAAGCGTGCGGCAAACCAGAAACCTGACCTTATAACAGCCCCAACGCACTCCCACTCAAAGCCTAGCAGTGTGGCGTCCTAGAAAGGACTATAGTAAGTAAGTACTATAAAGAAGGGTTAGAGATGTATAAGGGACTCCTTGCTTCAGGGTTTCTCCATTTCAGGGTTCGGGGTTTTGGGGTTCAGGGTCTAGGGTTTTAGGTGTTAGGGTTTTAGAGTTTTAGGGTTTTAGGGTTTTAGGCTTTTAGGGTTTTAGGCTTTTAGGGTTTTAGGGTTTAGAGCCTGGCGTCCAAGCTCGATGCTCGTTGTAGCGATGTGCGGCTGACCCAGACTGGAGCCCATTTTAAGGTTTTGTAGGGTTTACTGGGCACTTGGAGGTTCCGGGTACTTAGAACCCTCATGATAACTCCACATTTGAGGCCCCTAAGTTCCCGAAGTAGGTTAGAAGTAGACTCATACTTCGGCGTACCCACGACCCTCCTAGTAGCGTTGGGCCTCTATATATGTGTATGTATACATATATATATATATGCATACATACATACATACATATATATATATGTATATGTGTGTGTGTGTGTGTTTCGATATATATGTTTTGTTTACACATGCGGTGTGATCCGCATGGCTGACCCCCGAAGCCGCTAGGGTGGTAAAAGGCGAACTCCTAGAACTGTGGCCGACGGTCCTCAGAAAGGGAAGTCCATATCGAGCAGGGCCAGTGCACATGGGACCAATCAGTCCTAAAAACTCTACACTAAGATGCGAGAGACATGTTTTCTCGCAATTCAATGTATTCTGATCACATAGTGCTTTCGAATTGCACTGAGCTGATCAACAACTCTGTGGAAGCACTATCAATGAGCCAGGAGTTCGGGGAAGCCGAGCGGCGCTTCGGCAAGAGCACTCCTTCACCTTTTACATCTCAAAGATGGACCCAGAGACTCCAAAACCCCTTAATTAAGGAATATACCTTAAATCATATTAGGGTTCCTATTATAATTTAAGGTATATTCATTAATTAAGGGGTTTTGGAGTCTCTGGGGATGGCATCATCAGCGACATCCAGAACTACCGCAATGGGCATCCGAAGAGCAACGGAACGCCCAAACTCTGACGCTGATGTGCGCGAGGATGAAGGATAGTGTTGTGTAATGTAAGTGGTTTCTAGAAGAAGGCTAGTTCCACGTGGGTTTGTGAAATAATTATTAGGGGGTTTTGCTTCAGGAAGGTTAGTTCCACGAAGGCTTGTGAAATAGGAGGTTGGTTGCACGAGGGTTTGTGGTTCGACAGGGTGGTTTCACGAGGGTTTGCGAAATAGTGTGTCGTCTTTTCAATCCTCTCATGACTATAATAAACAAGAATATTTAATGATGTGACGGAGCACTTGTGCTAAACTTTAAACCCCTAAACCCCAAACCCCGAACCCTAAACCCTAAACCCTAAACCCCTGATCCTAAAAACCCTATCCAGCCATCTCTGGATTCCTGACCTGCATGAGTCCAGGCTCCTGCTCCCAAAGCAGCTCCACCCGCACACGTGCAGGCGCCCCATGCTTGGGGTTCAGGGTTTAGGGTTTAGGGTTTTGGGTTTAGGGTTTAGGGTTTAGTGTTTAGGGTTTAGGGTTTAGGGTTTCGGGTTTCGGGTTTCGGGTTTAGGGCGTTTAGAGGTTTAGGGTTTTGGGTGTTTAGCGGTTCCGGGGTTCGGTTGAGCCTGTAGGGGTTAGTGGTGGAGGCGTTCAGGTTTTAGAGGTGTAGGGCTCACGCTTTCGAGGTGTCTCTTGGATTTCAGGGATTTAGGGTTTCGAGGGCTTCTGGTGTTTGGGGTGTCGGCAGTTTGTCGTCGCTCTATCTCTCTCTCCCTCTCTCTCTTTCTCTCGTTTTTTTTTCTCTCTCTCTCTCTCTCCCTCTCCCTCGCTTGAGTGTCAACTTTCTTTCCTTTACAAATGAGTTACAAGTAGACCTTACATAATGAACCTCATTTCTTTTTTGCGTGAGTGGGGTGGGGGGGGGTGGGGGTAGCAGGGTTGCGGTGTTGCGAGGGAGAAAAGGATGAATGATCCGGGGGGCGGCGGCTCCGAGGGATACAGGCTTTTGTTCATGGCTTTAAGGGAGAGTGGCTAAGTTAGCAGGGCGGCTACCCCACAGAGTCCCACAACCCTGAATCCGACCGCATGCCTTGTTTCCGTAAACTTCTCAACCTTATACCTCAAACCATGATTGTGGAAGAAGCCTTAGCTTGGGACGTCTTAAGTGGTAGGCGACTTCCATTGAAGACCCGAAAACGCTTGCATCTTGCAACCCAGAACACCCCAAACTCTGGGTTTAGGGTTTAGGATTTAGGATTTAGGGTTTAGGGTTTAGGGAGTCCCAAGCAACCCTCGAGGCCCCCCACCTTAAGCCGCATTTCCCGCAGGCGCTCTTCAAGGAGCCGGAGGACTTAGATGCCAACGGTGCATCCCTCAGGGATGATGGGGGTTGGCTGCAATTTGGGGGGCAAGGGGGGGTTTGGGGTTTAGGGTTTAGGGGTGCACGCCTATTTGGGGGTTTCCGAATTTTTGGGTGGCTTAGTGGGGTCCTTATTATCAGGAGGAGTTCTAGTATTTGGGGATCTATATTAGGGGTCCCGTATTTTCGTAAACCTCCATTTAGAGTGTAAGCGTAAACATAGCCTTAATTTTCGGAAGGCTTTAGGCACAGGTTTTTGAGTCTTCTGTATACAAACAAACAAGCACACACACACACAAAAATAGTCTCTCCTCTCTAGCAGTAAACACATATATTTTTCAGTTATAGTTTTAGGGAGCTCAAGGTTCGAGGTGCGAGCAAAAACCTTCTGCGGTGTTACCGTTTCCCCTCAAAGCCCCTTCGCCTGCAACAATTGGAGCACGAAATGCTCTTCACGCCAGTGACCTGTTGAGGTCTCCAATTAGGCTTCGGGCCCCGGCACGTTTTGCTAGGATCCACCCCCCCCCCCCCCTCAGAAAAAAAGAGAGACAAAGCAACTTAAACCCCCAACCCAGGTGTAGTGCGATACTTGGCCCCCCCAAAAAAACTCAAGAAGCGAACACAAAAGTTCCCAGACCCCAAGCCCTGTGCACCCTGAACTGTCAACCCCAAAACTCCCTCAATCCTCAACCCCAAATTTTTAAAAGCCCGCCCTCAGCTCCTCAACCCCCCAGCCCCCCCCCCCCCCCCCCCGCCAAAGTCGGGGTTTAGGGTTCTGGTTCTGAGGTGGTTTCAGAGAGGTTTCGGCTTGCTTTGGGAATTTAGGGGTTAAAACCCATCCTGAACCCAAAGCCCTAAGCCCTAAGCCATCCTAAACCCTAAACCCTAGACCCTAATCCCTAAACCCTAAACCTCTGCCAAGGACAGCCTAGGAAGCACAAGCCTCTCACGCGCCTCGATGGGCCACCGGCCGAGGACCGCAAGCTCAGGCCCGGATTAGGGTTTAGGGTTTAGGGTTCAGGGTTTGGGTTCAGGGTTCAGGGTTCAGGGTTCAGGGTTCAGGGTTCAGGATTCAGGGTTTAGGGTTTAGGGTTTAGCTAGGGTTTAGGGTTTAGGGTTTACGGTTTAGGGTTTATAGGTTTGAAGGTTTAGGGTTTAGGTTTAGTAGGTTTAGTATGGTGACTAGGTTAGTTGGGTTAGTGGCATACAGGGTTGGTAGGGCTAGTAGGTTTGGGTCTTGGGGCTTAGGGTTTAGGGGAGCGTTATAGGGTTGTTAAGGGACATGAGGGTGTAGGGTGAGGGCTTTACAGGCTTGTGGGCTTTGGGGGTTTGGGTTTTAGGGTTTGGATTTTGGGGCCTACTCCTTAGCCCTTGCAGAAGCAATGGTCTCTTTGGAGTGCGTAAGTGCCGGGTGGCTGTGTGTGGACCACTACTGTAGGGTTTAGGGTTTAGGGCTTAGGGCTTAGGGTTTAGGGCTTAGGGTTTCCAAAAACTTTCAGAATTCAGGCCGGCATAAGCGACGCTGTCCCCCCAGATGATGCCTGCACGCAGGGACGACGAGATGCGGCGGCTGATCCAGCAGGTCCCTGCCGTGGCACCTTGAGAACTAATTAGGGTTTAGGGTTTAGGGTTTAGAGTGTAGAGTTTACGTGAATCTAACGACATATATTCCCTAGCCGCCCTACCCTATCTAAGGTCGGAACCATGGGCCCTTGGTATGATCCCTTACCCTTGTTTAAGGGGATCCGAAGTATGGGCCGTTTGGTGTATATAAAGGGTTATACAACAAGGCACCCAAATTAAGGGCCCAGACATCGGATCCCCTACCCGAGTTGAAGCTGCATCGGCATCATCAGCAGGGCTTCAGGATCCCCCCACACTGACAGCTAGAGCTAGCTGTATATACCCTACTCGATCGCAGGGATACCTGCCCATGTATGCCCAAGAACAGAGTTGGGGTTTCAGGCTTGTGGAGGCTGTGCAGTCCCCCAGAACCCTAAATCTGTAAACCGCCCCTGCCCTACCCAAAGACATGCCTACAGCAAGTGGGGCAGGGTGGGGGGGGGGGGAAGAACTTGGTTTCATTTGTGGAGGGAAGACTCTTGCACATGGGCCTCCTTTCGCCGGAAACCCGGAAGTCTCTAGTTCAGGAGAATTACACTGTAGGGTTTGGGGGTTTGGGGGGTTCCCTAAATTCTGAATCCTAAGCCCCATACCCGAAACCTCTGTTCCTCGTCCCTAACACCTTAAACCCCAAGCCCTAACCAGAGTTTTCGTATGTTTTCGCAGGTGCCAACGGACAAAGCTCGGGCCTTCGCCTTCGACATCGACTGGGACGCGGTTCACGTCCCTAGGCTGCAGAAGCCTGCAGCTATAGGACTCGTAGCGATGTGCACTTTTTTGGAATTAAGATCTGCGGATAGCTGTATGGGCCTTTAATATGGTCCTTTACCTCCTGTAATGGGTTCTGAAGTATGGGCCCTTGGGTTGTGTAGGGCACATAAGGGGTATTTGAGGGGCCCATATGAAGGGACCAGCAACTAACCTGAGAGAAGACGCAAGGTTGCTCTGTGCATGCCAGGGCTTGGGGGTTTACCTGTTTAGATCAAAACATCCCTAACACCCTGCCTATAAACCTGGACACCCCTCTTCCCCACTAGTCCAAAACCCCCGTCGCTGAAGCCTACACCCCTGAACCCGGCCCAAGCCCAAACGCAACAACCCTAAACCCTAAACCCATTAAACCCATGCCCCCCCCCCCCCCTGCTCCTGCTGAAGAAGCCATCACACCATCCGCTCGAAGTTGCATGGGTAGTTATGCCCCGGGTTGTAACACAATCCGCGTGAATTATCAACCGCCGCATCGCGGCCTCTCTTGACGAGGTTGCGAGCTGGACTGCTCTTTGGCTTCGTGTCCGCCTTGCGCCCACGCGTCTTTATGATGCCCGTCCACAACATGCTGGCAGATGGGTCCTCATTGCACCGTCGGCGCGACTTCGTGCATGTTATCCGGAGTCTGCGCTCGTGGCGTGCCGCACCCTTGAGGCTGCATACGGCATCATACGGCCATAGACCTGTAAAACCTTAAGCCCTCAACCAATTAGACCCAATAGATCCCCTGGTTCTTAGTAGGGACCTATATCATTCCTTGGAGGGTATGTATAGTGGTATATAGGGTATCTCATTCCCCCATTCCCTACTAAGAACCAGCCAAGTAGATCACACTGACATAGAAACCTAAACCCTAAACCCTATAATACCCTAAACCCTAAACCCTAAACCCTAAACCCTTAACCCGACACCCCAACAACTCCCGACTCAACCCAAGCTATATCCGCCCATGACCCTCCCAGCGCCGAGGGCAACAACATCATAGAGAAGAAGCTGCGGCCGTGGGTGAAGAAGAAGGCCAGGGTCTAGGCTTTAGGGTTTAGAGTTTAGGGTTTAGGGTTTCGGGTGTACGGCTTACAGTAGCGCTAGAAGGCCTTGAGGTTCTAGGGATCCCCAACTTTACGGCATCCGCCAGAGATTGCGGGGTTCACAGCCTGAGCTTCCAAACTTTGCATGCCCCAGGGTTTTGGGGGTTTAGGGCTTTAGGGTTGAGTTTTTTATTTTCCCAGGGTTTGGGGTTCTGGGTTCGAGTCCAAACCCAGAGTTCGGGGTTCTAGTTCCTTTTTTGGGGATGCTTAAGGCTTGAGGGTGTTTGTGAGTGAGTGAGTGAGTGAGTGAGTGAGTGAGTGTCGACCTGGGGTGCTCTCCGGCCTACGGAAACGGTCCCTCTCGCCTTCTTTGCCCCTCCGCATGCGTCATCGGGGCTCCGGTGCAGAGTTCAACGCTCCGGGCCCCGCAATCCGAGCCTGGGATTTGGGAGGGGTGTGCCACCCGAACCTCCATGGGCCCGCCCCCCCAAGCCGGGCGGCTTGAGTTGGAATTGGACACTTGGCAAGACAGCCCACTTCGCAGGAACAAAGCTCTTCCCACGATGATCCCTCACCGAAGTACTAAGCTGGGGACACTGGCTCAGAGACGGGGCATGGTTGGGAAAGGTGGTCGAACAAACACGCACACACGCACAGCACCGGCAGCGAATCTAAGGGCAAGAGCACATTCAGCTGATGCCCTTGTGGCTGCAAATGCTCGAACAGTGTCCCCTTGGCGTGTGGGGAGATGCCTGACGCTGAAGGCATCCCCCTCGACCAAAAGGGGGTCTTGAGGGTGTTTAGGATATTTGCCGGGGGGGGGGGGGGGTTCAAACCTGGGATGTTCCGCCTTATCTTAACAGTCCTTCATGGGGAGTATAAAAGGGGTACTACAATCCCTAACATCCCTACATGTGCCTAAAACTGTGGCGGATGAAGCCATTCCAGCCTAAGGGAACTGAGGCTTGCGGAAGGGTTCAGGTCAGGGTTCAGGGTTCAGGGTTGAGGGTTTAGGGTTTAGGGTTTAAGGTTTAGGGTTTAGGTTTAGGGTTTAGGGTTTAGGAGGGTAAGTTCAGGAGGACCAGGGAATCACGGCTCAGGAAGAATTTTGAGTTATTTCTTGAGGAGGCGCTGATGTTCTGTTGTATGGGGTGCGCTGCTTCAATTTGAGACACGAGGTTCCTTTAATAACCCCCGCCCCCCCCCACCCAAAACCCTGTTCTAATTCTTAAGGCCCCTGTAGTATCCTACCTAGAGATACTTTGTGCCTTAAATCTAAGGTTGGAACCATGGGCCCTCAGCGTGGTCCCTTGCCCTCGTGCCCGTAGTATGGTCCCTTTCCCGTGTTTAAAGGGGTTTAAAGGGATCCGAAGTATGGGCCCTTATTATGTACAGTGTATATAAGGGGTTATATAACAGGGGACCCAAATTAAGGGCCCACATTTCGGATCCTCTACCCAAACCCTAAACCCAAGTTAAGCGCCCAAATTTCGGAGCCCCTTTTTTAAAACACCGAGTCAAGTCATGATTTCCATGTCGAAGTAAAAACAAATGGAGACCCACCGCCTGCAGCCTGGAGCATGGGACCGATTCACAACTTCGCGTTTTAGGGTTCAGGGTTTAGGGTTCAGGGTTCAGGGTTCAGGGTTCAGGGTTCAGGGTTGGGGGAGATGAGAGCGTTTGCGTGGATCGGTGCGCAGCAGGTTGCCTCTTCGCACCCCCAAGGGGTGTGAAGATCTCCCTCAACGCGCCCTAAACCCGGGCTATTATACCCTATAATCCCTTAAAAGGCCCTTTATGGGTTCATTATGGGGATTTTAAGGCCTATTATGCCCCTATAACTCTCTAAAAATGCCCTTCATCAGGGGTGAAAGGAGCTATTAAACCCTATGGCAATTATACCCTATAACCCCCCTAAACAGGACCTTCATTAGGGGTGAAAGGAGCTGTTAAACCCTATAAGCCCTTAAAGAGGCCCTTTATAAGGTTCATTGTGGGATGTTATACCCTATAACCCCTTAAAAAGGCCCTTTAGAAGGTTCATTGTGGGAATTATGGGGCCTAATAGCCCATCCTGGAAGGCTCAGCTCCTCCCCTGTCGAAATCTCTGCCAGTCTGTCAGGTTTAGGGTTGAGGCTTTGCGGGGGAGCCCAAACCCCCCTCACTTTAGGGTTTAGAGTTTAGGGTTTAGAGTTTAGGGTTTAGGGTTTAGGGTAACCCTAAACCCGAAGCCCGAAACCCTAAACCAGCAGGTCACTGAGTTCCTCGGCAACGAGGAGCAGGCTGCGGAGCCCACAAGCACCTGCAGTGCCAGCGCTCACCCTTTAGACCCCCTAGAGCCCCTAGAGCCAGGAGTTAGGGTTTAGGGTTTAGGGTTTGGGGTTTGGGGTTTGGGGTTTGGGGGTTGTTTTTTTGTTGTTTCGCCCTTCAAGAATCAAGGTCGTTTTTCAAGTTCCTATCTACGGCGATGGCCGGTCATGGCTCCAACTAGCTGCGGCACTTCTAACCCGAGTTGTAGCTACCCAAACAACCTTCAACAGTAGGTTCAGGTTTTGGGTATGGGCCCCCAGATAGCAAACCTTCAACCCTGAACCCTACATACTAAACCCTAAACCCTAAACCCTAAACCCTAAACTCTATACGTCCTACACCCTAATTAAACATATTGCTCCAAAGACATGACCGTCCTCGACTTAGTTCAACCCCGTGGAAAAGCCTTTTTTTGGGGTCGGAATAATTACTCGTAGTATTCCCTAGGACCGGGAGTAGGCCCTTTGTTCCTTTTTTTAGGGTTGGGGTTCCCTTCTCATCCCCTTAAAACCAAAAAGGGTACCCTTCTTACTCCTGGGTTACTCCCGGGTCTAGTTCCCGTATGGTCCCTTTATAGTCTGACTATAGTAACCCCACAAAAAAAAACCTCTTCACCCTAAACCCTAAACCCTAACCCCAAAAACCCTATTCTAATTGTTAAGGCCCATCTCCTCACTCCCGAATCTCTGGACTGCTTGTGGGGTTGCTCGCAAGATCCCCGGAAAACACAAACATGCGCTAGGGTTTAATGTTTAGGGTTTAGGGTTTAGGGTTCAGGGTTCAGGGTTCAGGGCTAAGGTTTTCGGTTTAGAACCCAAAGCTCTGCACCCTAAACCCTCAAAGCCCGAACGAGTGGACTACACTTAGGAGCAGGCTCTTACGTGTAACTCTTGCCCAGATGGTCAAGGCTCGCTCTCGGAAGCTTATAAGTGTTTAGGGTTTGGGGTTTAGGGTTTAGGGCTATAGGTCTACTTGGTGGCTTCCGAAATTAGGGTACCTTCCTGGGGTCCTTATACTCAGGGAATCCTACTCTTTAGGGGGTCTATCTTGGGAGGATTAGGGTGAACCCTAAATCCGAAACCCGAAACCCGAAATTTGAAACTTGAAAATGGAAACCCGAAACCCTAAACCCTAAACCCTAAACCCTAAACCCTAAACCCTACACATCTACTCTGAGGGTACTAGGCAGGGGAAGATTCTCATGAATGGGCCAGGGGATGATCGAGTTCATCCTCAAGAAGGCCGCAAGTCACCAGTCAGCCTCTTTTTGTTAAGGTTTTAGGGTGCAGGGTTTAGGGTTTAGGGCTTAGGGGCTGCAGGGGGTTTAAGAGTTTGAGACTTGGTGTGTAATCGCCCTCTTGTGCCTCCTAAGCCCTTTAGCCTAAGCCCGAAGCCCTACCAGGTTGTTGGGGATGTTGTTTTCTATACAGAGAAGCACTGATTTGGGGGCCCGGCGACCCCCCCTAAACCCTAAACCCTAAACCCGACACCCTAGACCCTAGACCCTAAACCCTAAACCCTAAACCCTAAACCCTAACCCCCCCCCCCCCCCCCCCCCCCCCCCCCGCCCCAAACCCCCTCAATTTACGTCCAAGGCAGCCCACGCCTCGAACCTGACCCCCCCTAAACCCTAAACTTGGGATGTTCCCCTTATACGGCCAGTCCTTAGTAGGGCTTAATTATATTGGGGGACTATAATCCCCATGAGGAGCTGTTAGTACAAGGGGGACATCCCAACCCTCGACCCTAAATACTACAGGAGCCTGTGCGGTGAACGGCTTAAGGTTTGGGGTTTAACGTTTAGGGTTTAGGGCTGAGGGCCCTTTTATTCCCACGTTCGCAGCAGAGAAACTAGCTAAATCTTGCCTGTTCTGATTGGATAGGTCCGTGAGCCTTTACCCGACACCCTAATTGCAATGGGGTTGTCCTAAACCCTTACCCCTGAAAAGCGCTAGACCTATACCGGAGCGTGTAGGGGGATGGAAGCTCCCCCAACTTCGTTACTCCGAAGCCCTAAACCCTAAACCCTAAACCCCAAACCCTAAACCCTGAACCATCACAGTTAGCGGCCTACATTATCCGTCATTTTTCGGGGGCTAGGCTATGACCATGGTCTTGGCTCCCCAAACCCCCCAAACCCTAAACTCTGCTGCAGCCGAGAACTTCGTTGCTGAGTGAGTACACTTTTACACTTTTTGGGATACTATTACCCCCTATAAAACTGAAAGTTTTATACAAAAACTGAAAGTTTGCACTTATTTGGGGCTTATGAGAACTCAGCAACTAAGAGAAGCAAGTTGCGGAGGTGAGCGCGCGCACCAAGCCGGACACGATCCTCGCAGAGCCGCGAACTTGGATTTTGAGTCGCTCCAAGTCGCGCTGGCGTGTACTACTCATGGCTCGAGAACCCCCCCAATATAAGGATTTGTTGTTTTGTTTTGTCGAGGTGGGGGGGGGGGGGGGGGGGATGAGGTGCTGAAGCAGATAGTGGTAATGTAGCTTCAGGGTGTTTTGGGGCTTTAGGGCTTCGGCTCAGGGTATCTAGGGCTCAGCTAGAATATCTTATCTAAGCTTCAGCTGAGCCACAGAAGCGCAGACGCAGAGCCAGTCGAAGGCTCGAGTCTCGGCAGGGGCACTTGGAGGATTATGGGTTTAGGGTTTTAGGGTCTTAGGGTCTTAGGGCTGCTGTAGCTAGAGATGGGATCATCAGTAGCAGCTGGCTATATTGCAACCTTACTTGGGCACATCTAAGCCTGCTTGAACATAGCCCTAAACCTCGAGGGCGCGTGAAGCTCCCGGCCCCAGCCCAAAAATCTCAACATCCCGCGCCCCAAACCTTGCAAGGTTGAGGGTTCAGGGTTTAGGGTTTTAGGCTTTGGGTTTGAGGGCGTCAAGTAACCTTCAACCTTTGACCTGCTGGGGAGACAGTCCGTAAGCCAAAGGTTGCAGTCATTTTTGCCTTAGAAGCCCTAGAAGAACTCAGCCAGAACGATCTCAACCCTCGACTGAACCGAAGCTGCCTAAACCCTAAACCCTAAACCCTAAACCCTAAACCCTAAACCCTAAACCGCGAACACCCTGCAGGCTCGAAGGGTTTTTGGACGAAGAAGCGGAGAATTTCACGCTGAAGATGCCCCTCGGGCTTGACCACTGTATAAGTCATAGGGCTTCTTCACATCTCTTCACACGGGTTCAGGGTTTAGGGTTTAGGGTTTAGGGTTTAGGGTTTAAGGGTTTAAGGGTTTAGGGTTTAGGGTTTAGGGTTTAGGGTTTAGGGCTCGAAACCCTAAACCAGGGCCCTTGGAGGATTCGGGTTGTACGGATGTTTGTTTCGTTCTTTTGGCATTGAGGGCTTCTAGGGCTGTCTAGGATTGGGGCTGAGGGTTCAGTGCTTGCGGTCTTAAGACTTGAACCTTGAATGCTTAGGGTTCAGGGTTTAGAGTCAGCCAGTTAACCACTACATGTTCGACACTATAACGCAGGAGGTCTTTGCCAAGAAGTAGCAGATCCAAGTGCCCTTTGTCTTTGTCAGCGAAGAGGAAATGGCAGGCAACCCGTACAAGATGACTGAGACCCCTTGGCTTTCTTCGGGCTGGCTCTTAGGACTTTAACTTTTTGGGTTTCTTGTAGAAACTACAGTAAGGAGCATAAAAGTTAAACTTTTTGGAGGGGTTCCGAAGTCAGCCAAGACCCTAGCCACGCACTGTGCTTGCAGACCTGTTCTGTCGACTCGCGACCTCCTGTGTTCGGGAATTCAGCAACGTCTCAAAGCACTTGACTGATCAGGGTCGACACAACCCTACACCCTAAACCCTAAACTTTCCTAAACCCTAAAGGCCCTAAACCCTAAACCCTAAACCCTACACCTCTCAAAGCCCAACCCCCCAACCCTAAACTCCTCAAAGCCTACGCCCTGAACCCCAACCCTAGGAGGGCCCCCCTAGGATGGTTTCGCAAGGTTTAGCCTAATATCCCCCCGAGCCCCAAACCTAAACCCGTAAAACCCCTAAACCCCTAAAACTCCTCATAAGCCCTTACAAACCCCCAAAACGTAAGCCCCTGAACACTGAACCCCTAAAACCCTCTACCCCTAACCCCTGAACCCCTAAGCCTCTAACACCCCCCCAAACCCCCTAAAACCCTGAAGCCCCTAAAGCCCTAAGACCGCTGAATCGCGCCCGAGGTGGCGAATGCTCATTTTTGAGGCGCGCCGTTCTGTGCCCCAAACTCCTGAACCCTAGACGGTTTGGGGTTTAGAAGCCCTGAAGCCCTAAAGCCTCAGCAATCCCTAACGCTTGCAAACCCCCCCAAGCTCGATACCTCCCTCGTAAACGTTAAACCCTAAGTCCTAAACCCAAAGCCCAAAACCCTAAAGCCCAAAACCCCAAAACCCCAAAACCCCAAAACCCCAAAACCCCAAAGCCCCAAACCTTAAACCTGAAACCCCAAACCTTAAACCCTAAACCCCAAAAACTAAACCCTGCAGTACCGAAACACGAAACTCGAAACTCGATCAAGTCGGTCAGAGTTCAGCTCAGCCTGGTTTTGGTGGGGACCCTTCTGAGGACTCATGGTGAGTTGCAAGCCTGGGATTTTGCGTTTTGGGGTGCCGCACCTTGGGGTTCAGGGTTAGGGTTGGGGGTTTAGGGCCTAGGGTAGATGGTTATAGGGTTTTTAGGGTTTACAGGTTTTAGGGTTTCGAGTTTAGGGCTTCGGTTACATTGGGTTGTTTATGTGAAGGGTTTCCTAGGGGCTTCGTGATCGTTCACAAGCAGTTTCGGTAGGTCTACATATAGTGCACCCCAAAAGGGTTATATCAGACAGAACCCTAAACCCCCGAACCCTAGCCCTAGACCCTGGACCCTAAACTCTAAACCCTAAACCCCAAACCCTAAGCCCTAAACCCTAAACCCAAAACCCTAAACCCTAAACCCGAACCCTAAACCCGAACCCTAGCCCTAGACCATGCTTCTGCTTAGAACCTCGGCCACAGCTCTCCAAGAATCTGGAAGTACCGGATGTTGATTTTTTTGGGCTGCATGGCGTCGCGAACGGTATGAATTACTTGAGCTGCATCAAGTGGCGCGTTTCCTAGAAGGATGGGGGGTTGGGGGAAGTGGGGTGGTGTGCGGGGGGTGGCGTGGGGCGGGGCACGGGCTGGGGTGGTGTCCATGCGCTCGCCTTCTGCCAGGTTCTTCGCGTGAAGGCCAGATAGATCCGCTCGCATCAGGCCGGGCCAGCATCCTTGACTTGCCTTGAGACATGGGGGTCAGGGCCATTTATCGGCATGTCTTGTAGTAGAACACTTTAAGCAACAAATAATCGAAGAGATCACCACAACGACCTAGTTTCCAACGACTCCCTGTATGCTACTGCAGGTCTCACAAGGATTTGTGTTTGGAAGGTTCTAATCTCATTGTACATAGTTTTCTTGAAGATCTACACCTGGCTTCACTTGTTGGTATTATCTTGACACTTTAACTTTAACCAAGGCATCTGGATCCCAACCCTGCAAAAAATAGAATCTGCCCTCTCTGGCTTTCGACGTCACTTTCAGCCTTCAGCGCAGCCGAACACTTGGAAGCGAGCTCCACGCGGCTATTGGGAAAGACCATCTGGAGGCGTTGCAGGAGGCTGGCTTGCCGAACCTCCCCTCCCCCCCCACCAGAAGCCCAAACCCTCGCACGCTCGGGACGATCACGTGTTCCTCACATGTCTTTATGAGGGGCCCCATGAACTCAGCGTAGCCGCGATGTCAGTGGAGTGTCCATGCAGTGAGGGAAGCAACCTGAGGCCCGTAAAGCATAAACCCTAAACCCTAAACCCTAAACCCTAAACCCTAAACCTAAACCCTAAACCCTAAACCCTAAACCCCCTACACCTTCGACAATGCGACACCGCGGCTTCGCGGGCGTCGACCCTGAGCGCATTCCACATGCAGAAGGAGCCTGGGAAGGCATTTGCAGGAGGTCGAACCAGGGTTTGGGGTTTAGGGTTTAGGGTTTGGGGTTTGGGGTTTAGGGTTTAGGGTTAGGCATCTAAGGTTTAGGGGGACTGGTTTGCAGTCCCTCAAAGGCTGCATGTGGTGTCAAGCTGCTGTTTGTTTGCTGTCCGCACTTCCCCGAACTCGAAACCCTCAAGGCTCTGCGTCTAGCAACTAAACCCTAAGCCCTAAACCCACTTGCCACCCTTCCCTCCCCCTACACGCGTAAAACTTGATGGCAGGGCGAGCATGCCTTTCTTAGGCCAAAGAGTCCCCTCCTGAAGCTTCAACGCGGGTTGATCGACTGTATGGGGGCCCTCTATGGGTCTCTGTTGGGAACCTTATATCCCCTTATGGGTTCAGGGTTTAGGGTTTAGGGGGTTTAGGGTTTAGGGTTTAGGGCTGTATGCCCTATAAATTGGGATGTTCCCCTTATGCTACCAGTCCTTAATAGGGATTTTAATCAAGGGGTACTGATCTCCCTATTGAGGACTGTTAGTAAAAGGGGGAACATCCCTAGGTCCTCTTGCAGATTCTTCCTTCTGGGGGGGTTAGGCATTAGGGTTTCATTAGCCCTAAACCCTAAACCCTAAACCCTAAAGCCTAAAGCCTAAAGCCTAAACCCGGCCTAAGGGATCTACAACCCCAACAAACCTGAGCCCGGCTCGCATGTAGGGTTTTGAATGTCTGAAGAGCACTTTCCCTAAACCCTACCATCTAATACCTACACCCTAGACCCTAAACCCTACACCCTACACCCTTAACCCTAAACCCTAAACCCAAGACCCTAAACCCTAAACCCTAAACCCTAAACCCTAAACCCTAAACCCTAAACCTAAACCCTAAACCCTAAACCCTAAACCCTAAGCCCTAAACCCTAAACCCTAAACCCTAAACCCTAAACCCTAAACCCTAAACCCTAAACCCTAAACCCTAAACCCTAAACCCTAAACCTAGCCTAAAGCCTCAACACTCCAACCCACGCAGTATGTACACGGTGTGCTTGAGGGTGGGGCGCGCTCTCAACACCCGACAAACTTCCAGTCTCCTGAGTTGAGACTTCTCAGCCGCATCTCCTTGTTGGAGTGGACGTCTTGGAGAGTGGGGCATTCGGACATGGCGCAACCGAGGCAGTTTTAATGTCCCCCCCCCCCCCCCCCCGCCAAAGCCCGTTAGGGTTTAGGGTTTTGGGTTTTGCGGCCTGATGAGAACTTAGAGGATTTAAGGGGCAAGCCCTATATTACACATAGTGAAAACGTCCCAAAATCCTGGTGACCCCTTCATGTCGGTATCCGCGAGAAGCATTTGGACGCAAATTCTGGATTCCATGTGGAGGTTGCGGTGGGGTTCGGGATTCGCCGTTTCTCATGCACCCCCGTTTTGTCAGTCTTCCCGCTTGGGCTCGTAGGGACCTTGTTCCAGACGTCAGCTGAATCAGCTGAATCAGCTTCAAGGCAACCCAGACCCTAATTCCATCCTAAACCCTAAAGTAATGCAATCCTAAACCCCTAACCCCAAATCCTCACATCCTGAACCCCACAGGACCCGCAAGCCCAACGAAATCCCTCGAGACTCTCCAAAAGCCTCGAAAGCTTCTTTGTGAGAGGTGCACCCGACCTGCCCACTTCCCACCCTGTCTGGGTCTCTTTGGTTGAAGAGGCGCCGCGGGGGGTTTAGACCCTAAACCCTAAACCCTAAACCCTAGACCCTAAACCCTAAACCCTAAACCCTAAACCCTAAACCCTAAACCCTGAAACCTAACCCCTACCCTGACAGCTCGACCCTCAACCCTGGAGGGCCCTAAACTCTTCAAAGCCTAGACAAGATAGGGGACCCCAGACCCCAAATCCTAAACCCTAAACCCTAAGCCCTAAACCCTAAACCCTAAACCCTAAACCCTAAACCCTAAACCCTAAACCCTAAACCCTAAACCTAAACCCTTATATACACTATACATAGGGCCCATACTTCGGATCCCTGTAAACCCCCTGTAAAAGAGGGTAAGGCGCCATACTAAGGGCCCACGGTTCCAACCGTAAACAAGATGAAGCAGCGAAGTGCTTGGAGGGGTTGAGGGTGCATAGGGTTTAGGGTCTAGGGTTTAGGGTTTAGGGTTTTCGGGTTTAGGGTTTAGGGTTTAAGATTTAGGGTTTAGGGTTTAGGGCTACACAGAGTCTTCCTGATGAGGCTTATCGTAGTAAAGGGCAAAGGAGGGTGCCAATGTTAGGGTTCCTTTAGTCTCCAAGGTACAGGCTCAAAGGCTTGGCCTCTCCAGCACACTGAACTTATAGGGTGCTTGAGGTTTAGGGGTTAAGGTTTAGGGTTTAGGGGGTTCGGTACCTAGGGAACCTTCCTGAAGCTTAGGGAGCCTTAGGGGGTAGTAGGGGGCATTAGGGAGCCTTCGGTTACATACCCCCCTGAAGCCCCCTCTCTTAAGAACCCGATGGTAAACTTGCAACTCCTCGGCCGGCAAAGTAGGATTTATGGCTAGGGTCTAGGGTGTAGGCTTTAGGCCTTCAGGTTTAGGAGGCTGTAGGGGGTAGGGTTTAGGGTTCGGGTTTGGGCTTTAAGCTCTAGGCTTCAGGGTTCAGGGTTTGGGTGTTAGGGTAGGGTTTAGCACCCCAAACATGAAGTATAGGTGCTCTCTCCACCTTCCGACTCCATTCATCACACGTCACGCGAATCCAAGGTAGAGCTCCCTAAGCCCTAAGCCCTAAACTCTTAAGCAATCTAAGGGTAGCTATATTGTCCTTGAATACGGCCCCATACCTTTAAGGTCTGAAGTTAATTACAGGCCCTTGAGTTTTATAGGTTGGAATGTTTCCCTGTGTGCTAGCAGCCCTTATGGTACCCCCTAGTATAATCTCTTTTAAGGGCATCCCAACTTATAGGGTATATAGCCCTAAGCCCTAAACCCTAAACCCAAAGCCCATAAGGGGGATGTCAGGGTTTCTCTACTAAGGGCCCATACCCAGGGACCATGTAACTACCCAAAGAACCGACAAAAAACTCCCAAGATCCATCCTGGGTCCGGTCCCAGGGTTTAGGGTTTAGGGTTTAGGGTTTATGGGCTATTGTTGTCCCTGATGACTCCATGGCAATATTCGCAACAGAAGGTTCTCTCAAAGCCATTTATGAGACATAAGCATGATTTGTGCTCGCAAAGTCGACACTTTTGTGGCTCTGTCATACACCTCTCGAGTTTCAATTCGCAAGCCACCCTTGTGTTTACGTAGGCCCTTGCTACTATAAGCCGCCAGGTAGAGAATTCACAACATCTTAACCGGGGGTGGTGTAGGTTCGCTGAGGCCCAAAACCCTAAACCCTAAACCCTAAACCCTAAACCCTAAACCCTTAGCGGGTTTAGGGTAAGAAGCACGTGCTCGTACCATGTTTAGAAATCGTGTTCTATGACACGACAACACTGTTCCATGACAAGACAATACTGTTCCATGACGCCGCTGCTTTGTTCCATGACGCCGCTGCTTTGTTCCATGACACAGTTTTTTGGGTACCATGTGTAGTTCAGTGTACTGTCGTTATAGTTTAGTGATTTAGTGTAGTGACAGTTTCGTGTCCTCAAGTTCTACTTCAGCGTCCTCTAGTTCTGCTTCAGTGTACTGTCGTTATAGTTTAGTGATTTAGTGTAGTGACCGTTTCGTGTCCTCAAGTTCTACTTCAGCGTCCTCTAGTTCTGCTTCAGTGTCCTCTAGTTCTACTTCAGTGTCCTCTAGTTCCGGGACGAAACCGCTTCATTTCGACACTTGCTGCTTGGTGCTGTGCCTGGAGTCAGCAAAAGCGCCATGGCTCGCTACTCGTGCCGGCTCCCTTGTTCCGGTTCCTGCTTTACCTGCAGGCCTGCTCTTCCCATTCCGAGTGGAGATTCGTGCTAGAAACTGGAAGCATACCATGCACCACTGTACTCGGAGGCCAGCGTGACGGCTCTGGTCGTTTGGAGTGCAATTCTCCAGTCGTTCCTTTGTTAGGCCGGCCCCTTGTTTGGCATGTCTCGTTCTTTCTTTTTTGCCTGTGTTGCAAGAGCTTCTGAAGGACTGCAAGAGCAGACAGAGGATGCTGGAGAGGAAACAGAAGATGCTGGAGAACAGCTGGTAAGGGCTTCTGGGGCTTCTGGAGAAGGAGACCAATTGGCACTGGAAGTGTGCAGTGCAGCCCTGGCTCGTTTGTGGCTTGCATGTGCAGTGCAGCCCTGGCTCGTTTGTGTTGTGAATGCC